CAGTGTATATCGGAACATACCCCTAATCATCATCAGCACTTTTACGACAAAATAATATTCATTCTTAATACAAAATGCTTAAAAAATCCACTTGGTCCCTGGCACCGACTATGGCATTGTGAATGCAAAATTAATCAAAATATAATAAAATAATATTCAGATTTAATTTCTATCTGCCGCCAAAGTAATAGAAAAGGCTAAGAAAGAAATATAAAAAAAAGAAGCTAGTTTCTAATTAAGCGGCTAGTAACAGGCAATAAGCTCCTACATGTGTAAGACTCGTTTTATAATTAAAAAACAAAATGATAATAGTTTATTTTCTATGCAAGAAAATAAACTATAAAGAGTTCTTTATTTTCTATAAAGAGTTCTTTTAATTTGAGTAACTTTGTTATTGCATAATTGATTATTAATTATTGAATGTTATACATATTTTTCATGAACATTTGTATGTTAAAATTATACTTTCAGAAGTGTTTTCTAATTATATGACCACCACTTGTATATTACTATCATCATCAGCTCTTTTACGTCCCCACTGCAAGGGCTCAGGCCTCCCTTATGGATGGTTAAGGAGGGTGGGCCATGACCCTCCACGCTGGCCCAATGCGGATTGAAGGGCATCAACGACTGCCAATGCAGCCGGGACCAACGGCTTAAAGTGCCTTCCGAAGCACGGAGTAGCTCGAGATAATATATTTTTTTTTGGTCACCCATCCCGTGACCGACCCTTGCGAAAGTTACTTAATGACAACGATCGCGGGCCGCGGCGCCCATCCACCACGCCACCGAGCTACTCAACCGAGCCACCGAGCTACCTAAATCGTTCAACATATTGTTGTCCTATTTATTGTTTAATTTCAAAACAAAAATGATTCCGGTGAAGTATTAAGAGACCGTTGGTAGTGTTTCTAATTATACAACCACCAATGTATATTTTTTCGCTCGTCTTGGAGCTGGTGAGTTTCTCGATCGTTCTTCCTTTCAGGCAAAATAAGTCCTAAACTGATAGATAAAAAATAATAAACGATTCAAAAGTAATTTCATCGACTTTATATGCATAAAGACTTTGACTCACCGAGCATCTTGTCGCGTGCCACATCGGCTCTAGCGATCCCGAATGCGGGATCAGCATCACCGTCATAGTGATCGATCCTGAGCCGCCAGTAGTGGATCCCTCTAGCTAACGGCTGGTCGGCTAAGGCGACGCGAGGTTGCCATCCCGTCGCCTTAGCGCATAGACCGTCCGCGCTCAGTGTGACACCGCCGTCCGCGCATCCGAACCGAGCGTCCCATGTGAACCAGGCCACTGATCACCAAAAACCATACAAATAAACAGGGTTCGGAGTGATTATCACATATAAAACACTAAACAAACTCTTTTTGTACTTTAGGACTTGTTACGAAAGGGGAATCATCTTTAAACAACTATCAAATATAGTTTTTATGATAGAGAAATTTATCTAGGATGAATGGACCTACAAATACAAAAATAATATTATAAGCCCCCTTTTGTATTATTTTTACAAAATCCCTTTATTTTTATTCATGTTTTAATTTCACTTTTTGTTTAATGTGATTTCACAGATAATTGTTTTATTTTATTTTCATAATTAAAAAAAGCAAAAATAAGCGTTTATTCAATTATGAATGCCTTCCTGTATTTTAAAAATTGTTACCAGTTACTTACGGACAATTATCAAATAATTATTTTTATAAATACGAACCATGTAAATAAACCATCATTATAATAATTATATAGTTTGGTCGCACAGAGAATTGGCTACTTGATTGCTTTGGGAAAAGAATTTTAAAACTTATATATGATCATATAAAATTGGTATCAGATTTATTTTTCTCCAAAAAGTGTTATTAAACAAAGAAAAATACATTTCTATTCATCTATTTAAATTGTAACGGGAAAACAACCGGTTTATTGACATTTAAAGGCGTGACGTCATATTTTAATAAACATGAGTACTGGTTTATAATAAACAACAGCTGCTTACTACCAATCTGAAAAATGAAAAAATGTTTCTGCCAGAGCGACATCACATCATGGCGGGTCGTGTTTCAGGTGACGAGGTACACAGACTTTTTCTTTTGTCTTTAATGTCACACAATCAGAATATCAAAAAAGCTTTAAATAAAAATTATTAAATTGTACTTACCAGGTGACGTTTGTAGACCAATGACTTCACTGTAAGGTCCTTCTCCAGCGCCATTGAAAGCTTTCACTCGCGCGCTGTACAGTGACGCATAGTGAAGACCGTCTATAGTACACACCGTTTCCCTTCCGCAGTATACTTCCTATATACGACACAATAACGTTTTTAATTGTATCTAGAAATTTCTGTAAACTAATATGTATCGCGAAGAATATATAGAGTTATTTCTAAAACATTATATAATTCGTTTGTTGATTTTAGATAATTTATCACACTACTTTCATACGAAAATAAAAACTAAAAGAAATATTATTATTCAAAGTACATATCTATATTATATTTATATTAAAAGTTGTAGATCAAATGCAATCGTTAATTGTATTGGATATCTTCTTCTGCGTGATGGCAAATGTTTTGCAAATGTTTTTCAAATAATATAAAAACATATCCTCTCTTTCTTTTATATTATGTCGATCCAGATTGTGTCAAAAGTTTTATAGGTAATGAAAAAGAAACACTAAAGATGAAATGGATAGTTTGGTCGGATGCCAAATACCGGATATCCGGCAAGCTACGAGACCGGAGTGCTGAACAGACAGAAAAATTTGGTGTTCATTCTACACATAATAATAAAAAAATTTTTGACGTGTGATTATATAAATAAACGGTGCTTATAACCTACTGTGATATGATTTGCCTTGTGTGAAATAGTGACTTTAAGAATTTTTCTATCCGGGATCCAGCTAGATATCAATTTCATCTCTAATAAAAACTATCTATTAATATGTATGAATGCCAAAGGTCTATTAAGGTTTCTTAAACAAATAAATAAAGCGTGCACAAAACATTGATTGTTTTAAACTTCAACTCGAGGAACACTATCTGTAACTATGAATTTTATTTTTATTATCTTTAACTGTATATTAATGTTATTAAATAAGGTAAGTATGCATATGCATTTGCAATATGTGAGTATTTAATACTTCTTCTGCCATGATCTACCTAAATTAAAGTTAACTAAGCGATCCAATCTGTAACAGTACTATACATTGTTTTTCTTTGTAATATTATGATTTTATCTAATGGTGTTAGTGCAATAAAGAATAATTCATTCATTCATAAATAATTTATAGCGCATATATATGATTATATATTTGATAGTGTAGTTAGTATACAAAATAACAAATTAGATCTAAGCTACAAACTAATTATATCTTTAAGCGGAAACTTATAATTGGCTTATTGTTTATTATGCTTGTATGTTGTTCGAATAGCTGTTGGTTTTCTAAGATAAATAAATAAATATTACACAATATCACATACATTGTTCAGATTCCAAGATGAGTAGTCAAAACCCCCGTATTATGGAGTATCTGAGACAACGAAAGTAACACAACACCCAGACTCCACACAATATAGAAAAGTCCCGAACCCGGGACCTCAGAGATGGCGACACCTCGAAACCGGCGTGCGAACCACTTGGCTACGGAGGTCGCCTCAATAAAACCACTGACCCGAAACGGTCCGCCCAGGCCGTCGTCTAGTTCGAGCACGTATCCGCGCACGGCTGCGGGCGCGCCGGGCGGCCGCCACGCTAACGTACACGAGCATCCACGCGCCGCGCAAGCTTCCACCGCCATTTCTGGCGCGCCCGGTGCTATAAAACAAGTTTAATATGTAACAAACTAAAATAAATTTAAAATAATAACAAGAAAATATATAAAAATTTTAAATAACAACTTTTAAAAATCTGTGTAGTAATTTTTATGAGGATTTACACACAATAATCCTTATATATACAAATAATATAATATCTACAACAAATTTAATTTATCCCTTTTTATTGAAAGTGTACTATTAAGAATGGGTTACTGGTACTGGATGATGAAGAAAGACAAAACCTATTGACACATACAAAAATCAAATTATAAATTTACACTATAATAACAGTTGCAATAATTTCATTAAATAAATAATCTTTGTTAACAAAATAGATTCACTGTTACTCAACACCAAACTATAAAAGTTAAAGCGACATATTGTTTTCTTTCCGTTATTATATTAGCTAGCTTTATTTCCCAAGCCTGATTCTTCACAATATATGATACTTAAACGAACATTATTACATGAAGTTATAGATATCTTTGGGGTCAGGATCACCCAAACCTCTATTAGCCACAAGCCTCTCACAAATTTTATGATTGTATTGGCTCCATTATTATTTTTATAACGCTAAATCATTTCCATTATTAAAATTAACAATAGATTTTAGTCATGTAAGTATTGAATATAGATTACCTGATGTCCTCATTTGATTTTCGATAGCTGCATTCCGAAAACCAAAGTGAAGTAAATTAAATGACGCACAAAATCATTCAAGAGATCTAATTAATAAGTTGTGTTTCCTGTTGTCTATAAAATGCTTGAATAGGTACGATTTCAGACTCATTCTAGGGATGTGTCGAAAAAAAAACAGAAATGCTCTTTAGTTAGTTAGTTAATGCTCTTTATTATATTTTTTTAGATTAGACTGGTAAATACATGCTGAACTTCTTTGACGTCCATTTTGAAGTAGGTTAATGGAACCGCATGTTACAAAGATTTACTTAGAGCTTTCTGTTTGTGGTTATTGCATTCGCGTCTTGCAGCCTGCCCTTTAGGCAGTGTAGCAAACCAGACACTGTCTAAATAAATTCAAAGGTGACTGACTGACTGACATAGTGATCTATCAACGCACAGCCCAAACCACTGGACGGATCGGGCTGAAATTTGGCATACAGGTAGATGTTATGACGTAGGCATCCACTAAGAAAGGATTTTGATCAAATTTTTCCCCAAGGGGATAAAATAGGGGATGAAAGTTTGTATGAAACTTTGTCAATTTTAAGGGCTGAGACTTTGCATGCATAAAGCTACTATGACGTAGGCATCCCTAAGAAAGGATTTTGATAAATTCCACCCCTAAGGGCATAAGATAAGAGAATAAAACTTTATTTCAGGTATTTTACACGATATAATTAATAAATATTTGTTAGAAATGCTGCTCAAAGCAACTTTACCACGCGGACGAAGTCGCGGGCAAAAGCTAGTTATCTATAACGCAGTAGGACAGCATTAATGGGTTGATGTGTAAAGTGTTTTGATACTTACGTATGCACTCTATAAAGTTCATAGTCCGGACAGTCCGTAGCACAGGTTCCACATCGAGAGTAAGCGCAGGTGGTGAAGGTGGTGCATCTAAAGACGCCCCAAGATTTGAGGCAGTTTCTTGGGCTCGTGTAGACAGTATGCTCCCAACCTAGTAAAAAAAATTGTATGTGTTTCTTTTTAATTTTTATAAAATTTAATAAGCAATAAGAATACGATAACATTGTATGCCATATTCATGATGTCATTTCGGTGTATATCATAAATACAAAACAAATGCAGACAGCCAATTGCACAAACGCGCATTAAAAATGTCGCAAGTTTAATGCCATATTATATTACCCTTACTTCAAAGAACAATGGTCAAACTGGACTACGAAAAAAAAAGTTCTTGTACCAAGATGGAACTATCACCAAAATGTAGTTTAAGTTGAATGTAATTATTGTATACCAACAATTTATTTTTAAAAGCTGGGAAAAGAAAGATAATCCTCTCTAAAGTATGTCATTATTTTTTAGAACGCAGTTTAAATTATGTTATTTTTGAACGCATCTTATTAATAATGTCATTCCTAGAGAAGTTCATCTCTTTTCAAAGAACAAGATCGATTTTATTTCTGACTAATCGAATTTGTTACAAATCTTATATTATTTACTAACCATATAAATACGTGAAAATTATAAAGCTTAGATTAGATTACTAATATAATTAGATGTTACTTAGAGGAAAATAGTTTATTTATAATGAACAAATGATTATTCATAAGAATCGATATTACAGTATTCAATCGATTGCGACCTCCCTTTTTTAGACAAATATGTGTAAACGTGTTTCTACGCAGACCGTTTTGTAACTTTGGCGGTGATTTTGTATTATCATCGTATATGTATAGTATTATGGGGAGCATACTAGGTTCCCTGGGCAGTATAGAATTGAGGTCTGGAGAGAAATACTGGATTTTCTGGATTTATTAGAATTAGACTTGAATATAAATAAAGTCTTAATTATAAGGAGTAGAATTAAGTCGAGACATTGGGAGGAAACAATATTATGTGTACATTTTAAAGAATAATGACACATCCGGGTTAGATGGCATAAGAGAACACTGCTGTAATTGTCTTATTGGTCGATCTACACTGGGATGCTGTGCTCATATAATGACCATAGTTTGGTATCTTGGATGGGCCAGACACGAACAGAATGTAGCTGCTCCTGCAGCATTCCGTGATGAGGTATTCATTAGAGTTGTAATAAAGAAAAGAAAAATCAACATGTTGTTTTGCTATATCCTTTTGAAATTAGTATTTTCACTACTACTTTATATAAGTTATAGTGTAAGATAGAAAAGTAGAGTTATTGAGAGTAATCTTAAAAATTCTATTATGTTTTTGATGTTCATTGGTTCACAAAAAATGATTTTATTTCTTACAGTCAATAAAAATAATTTATCAGATATGGAGCAAGTTTGAAGTATTATGTGAAAGTATGCACTTCTAGGACTAGGATTAGACTTTATCTGACGTGTGCTTTACATATTTCAACTATAATACCTCTAACTCAAAATGCTACAGTTTAAATAATACCACATAACCTCAAAAACATATTACACAATTACTCGATACTCCCAGCTTTTAAAAATATATTTAATGTCTTTCTTTGTTCTAGTTACATAGGCAAACAAAATAACATATGTTTCATCAAGTTACGTTTTATTAGATTTTACTAGTCCAAGCATGTTAGGCAGTTGGCCATTGTTCTTTAGAATATTCATTACAGCTTAAAGTCGTCATTAAACTTTAACTGACGTTTGTACAGCTGACAGGGAGTATATTATTTTATAAATTGATAAATGTCAATCAGATAAGAACAGTGCCATCTATCAATCTTGCTAATAAATAAAATATGAAGCAAGTACAACAGCAGAATCTGTTTAGTCCGCGACTTTGCATGCGTAAATAACCTATATGATGTAGCTACTCTTAGGTGAAATAATTTTTAAAATCAGTCCAATAGTTTCAGAGCTTATTAGCAGAGTATAAAGAGTAAGTGCTCTTCATACATACGCACCGATTTGGTTGTATGTGAGCGCGCCCGTGCGTATGCGTCGTCGCACGCACGCACAAAATTATCGAAGTTTTAGGAGTTCAAGGCACGAGTGGCAACTCGCCAGTAATGGCTAGTACGCCGTGCTCGCGTAAACAAGATGGCTTTGAAGACTAAACCAAAATATTGGATATGCATTTATAAATAGAGTATATGGTATTTAACATTTTTATAAATCAAGTATATGGTATTTCGTTTTTTAAGTATTCGGGTAATTTATTATAATATCATAAGTAATTATAATTTTGTGTAGCTATTTACCCATCCAAAGTGTTTATGATATTTTCTGCTCAAGATTTCATTTACCAGATATCAATTTGTAGTTTAATTTAATAAATCTCTATACCCGAATGACGCCGAATTGAAATTGATATTCAATTGTATATTTGCGTATTAGACAATGTAATATAAAAAATGTCGGCCATCAATAGAAACTGTTTGTACAAAGCATATGATTATAAAAAATTAAGATCGGCATTATCTTCTGATTATTTAGAAAAAAATAAATAAATACATAATTCATTAAAACCACGTTTCAATTTTACAAAACACTAAATTGATGACATAACGTACATAAGAAAAAAAAATGTAATCAGCTTCTGGTCTATATATTAAAAAAACATTAAAAAGTTGTTTTATAGTTCCCAAATGCTTACCATACCGGGGGAAACTATATTTTAGAGATTGATTGACCATGCATTTACTACAAGCGACAGCCATGTTTAGGCTATTATCTCTCGCTCGAAATTTTGATGAAAAACAAACTAATAAGCTCTTTATATTAGTATAAGATATTAGTATAGATAGGTTGCAGCTTAAAACTAATCTGAAAAATGCAGATATATTAAGCATACACTTATAGTTTTGTGGTAAATATATTTTGATAAAAATCTAATAAGTAATAAAGTATTTTTTATCATAGATACAGTCAAATAACTGCTCAACAAATTAAAGAATCAGTCACACATAATAGATAACCCACTTAGTTATCTATAGTACCTACACTCCTTTTTTATGATTCAAAACATGATGGGCGGACACAAGTATTGTAGGAGATAATTTATTAGTGTTTTTCAAATGAATAGCTTTCCATATTAGATATATGGAATATAATTTTTTCAGTGGATAATGGTGTTAAAAATACAAATGTGATATAAAAATATAGAACTTTATATAATAAATTTATATACATACTTGTAAAAAGGCTGCATGATCTGATTCTTTCAGAGCTTCAATAGAGAAATGAAGAAGTGCAGTAGCTTCTCGAAGTTTCTGAGCAGCCTGTGATTTAAGCGAGCGCATATTAGTGATTGCTTGTGAGCGAGTGCTCCTAGCCGCTCTTATGAGTTCATCACGTCTTAGTTCTATGGCACGAGTGACTTCTGTGCATGCAGTATCAATCTGTCTCTCTAATTCTTCACATGATTCCTGAAAATATTTAATTACATAGTCTAATTTTATTTTATTAAAAAAACAAAAACTTAGAAGATACTAAACAGTTGCTTTAGTTCTGATATGCGAGACGTTTTTATTTAAAATTTAAGGTACTAAGTATTTTACTCACATTAATTTTATCCCCTGAACCCTTGATAATTTGTATGTATTCAGTCATAGCTTTAGCCTGTTCCGAGAGCTGTTGCAATGATTGTGATAGTTCAGTCTGAAATATAACAATTAATTTGATGTTATTTTATTAATGTAAAAATACTTTTGTGTAAATTCAAAGCAATAAGAAATAAATAGAATCATTTAAAAGAAATACTTTGCTTCATAATAATAACAATGTGTTCCTTGTCATCAGTTATTATTGTTTGTATTATTTTTACCTTATGAGCTCTAGCTGCACTAGACAAAGGTTGAGTTTCATGACCAGAATGTTTTTCAGCAAGACATCGCTGACAAACAGGAAGAAGGCATGTGTTACAGTAGAGTACTGGGGGTGACCCATGATCGACGCAAGTCGTCCCAAGCGTTCTGAGCTCATGCTGAGCTAAGGGGCCACGAATGGGATGCCATGCATCACGACACCCAGCACAATATCGTACAGAGCACTGTTCACAGCGAACTACAGCTGCGCGACGCTCACCCTCACACATTTGACAAGCTTCTTCAGCTGGAGGCGCGCCTTTAATGCCGCCAAACCTTTCCACAATAGTCCGCATGACTCTAAACGGCGGAAGACCTTCAGCTCCATTGTCATCTAAGTACACTTGCTTATTACACAAAGGGCATGTTAGGCAGAAAGCGGTAGATGAATACACGGGCGCGGCCGGAGTTCCAGCGTAACTGTTAGGCCTTGATCCACATACAACACCGCTGTCAGTTTCACTAGAGACGGATGCTTTATCAGCCTCATGGTAATCTGTTGAAGTTGTTGAGTTTTCACCTTCATGCACATGGACTTGCAGGGTTACTGCACATGAACGACACAAAGCATGACCACAAGGGAGAAGTACTGGTTCTCTGTAGAATTCCTTACAAACAAAACATCTCAGTTCCTCTTCCATTTTGAGGGTACTGTTAAAGTAACACCATATTTATAAAGTAGTATGGGCAAGATATTGTTCACTGATCACATTAATTATGGTATGTTTATTTAACAATGCATCTAAAACAATTAAAAATAAAAATTACAAAAATAAACAACACTGCCTGATTTGAGTGAAACCCAGCGTTGCCAACTTCCACGTTCTGGATTACCCAAAAGCCTAACTAAAAATCCCCAATTTTGGGGAAAATAAAATCGATATTCCCCACATTTTCCCCGCAAGTTTTCAGCAAAGAAATAAAAGTACCATTCATTTAAATCAAATATAATTATAACTTATAATTAAGTATTTATTTATTTTAGTTGACGTATTTACTACAGCTCTTCACTGCGCCAAATTTGCTTCGTTAACATATCATTAGACGGCTCAAATTTTAGGCTGCCTCCTTTTTTCGTAATACCGTCTTTAGTGGCCATAAGCGCCACAACAGTATCATTCTGCAGCCGATTTCGATTTTCTGTTTTCAAATTCTTCAGAACGCTAAATTTTCTTTCAACAGATGCATTCGAAAAAGGTAAAACGAGCAATAGGCTTATTGCATATTTCAAATTTAAAAACATTCCATGACCTGCACTGTTTTTAAGACTGAACACTTTAGCCCAGTATGTTTCTGGATTGTCATCATCTTGTAAACCAAGAGCAGAGTAATCTAACATCGCGTGTGCTCTCCATTCGTCATCTAGTTTTTGAGATGTCACTACATTTTCAAGTATCGGAAATCGTTGCAACAAGGGTTTAAGGGATTTGACTTTCAATTGCTGTGCTTCTGATGGATTCACTACAGATATAAATGAAAATAATGTGTCCGAAAAATCAAAACGCTTAGTAATATCCGTAGTTAGTTCAATATAAAAGGCTTGGCAGGATTTATAAAAATCTGCGATCGTATGACGAGGGACATTTAGATATTTTTTCAAATTCTCAACACTTTCTGATGCTTTCATGCCTATGTATATATTATCTAAATCAACAAAATGCGCTGTGTTTGTAAATTCAGCCGCCAAAATATTTTGACAAGATCTGACATAACTTATATTCATGTAGTTTGTCGATAACGTTTTCAACAGTTTTTCTACTTCCGGCTTCAGCATATGAAGAAGTGGTGTTTCTGATTGAAATACCGTATTAAAATCTGTCCCCAGTGAAAGCACATAAGACATGAACTCTAAATACACCAAAGTGAGGTGGTTATTCATGGTGGTGAGCATTTCTTCAGTAGTTTTTGAAGGGTCAGAAAATACAGACTCTGTCAGATATGCTTTTAGGGCAGCATATTGTTCCAATACACGATCTACGCATGCTTTCAACGAGAGCCATTGAGTTTGCGCTGGTGCAAGAATTTTGTGAATGTCAACATTGAAAAATTCTTGGAACTCCTTCAATTTAATTTGTCTATGTGAGCTTCTACTGAAGTGAGCCCCAATACAACGTAACAAATCTTCCACATACCTAGGTAATTTAAGGCAAGCTTTTGATGCTGATAGATGTAGAGTCTGGCAAGCGAAACGTGTCACAAGAAAAGGGCGGCAATTTCAAAAATTCTTAAGCAGTAAACACTGAATGTAGTACTGCAAAATAATTTTGATACTTTTATTAATTATATTTAATCTTAACATTTAGATATCAATTAAAATTATTTGTTTTGGAACATTTGACTAAAGCGTGACTGTTCTTAATTGTACAGTTAACAGCATATCAGTAGGCCTATTCACTAACTCAACTGACAACCAAGAATCGTCATCACCGTAAAAAATAGACACTTTGATTGTGTCAAAATCACTATTTCGTATTCTCTATCAATGATGAGCAATTTCGAAATGTCAATATCGGCATTCTCCACTGGACTCCATTTTGACACTTGATTTCGTATCGATAAACTGTATTAAAGTAACATTGTTGCAAAGCATATTTGAAGTCGTCGCATAGTACCTCTTAAGCCATTTGTTGTTAAATTAAAGCGAAAAAAAATACGTATCCAATATTTTTCTATTATCTGACTGACGGACTAAATCGAATCTTTTTTTTAACCCATTCGTTATACCTATTGGCTAACAGCACTTATAATATTAAAAATTCATATTTGTCATTAATTAAAAGGGTGTTTTTTGCAACGACTTCTTTGTTTTTTTGTAATGAATATGGGCGACTCTGGCCACATTTTTTTAATAAATGTGATGTTAGCCAATTTTGATTTCTGGCCCTTATATTTATAATGTGTTCATAACACATACATGTCTCCTAAGGGATTTTCATCACAACCTTTTGCTCTGATCCAGAACCACTATCTATCAAATTAAATTAGTCAATATAAACACCAGATTACAATAAAAAAAACATTTATTTTTGTTACAATTAAGTGCCATGGATAAATTACATAATACAGGTGTCACAAAATCATCATGTTAATCACAATAGAAAATTTAAGATAAGATTTTGACTATGAATCAGACTAAAAATACTTTAGTCTGATTCATAGTCAAAATCTGTTTCTAAATATTCTACACCTGATAACAATGACAAGGAATCATCAGAGTCACTCTCTTCACTACTGTCTGCACCAACAGATATAATAAATTTTTCAAGTTCGTTTTCAACAATGCCATCTTTTAATTTGTAATCATTTTCGACATTTAAAACATGATCAGTGTATTTCTTCCAGTCACTAGGGGTAATTAAGTTAAAACACTCTATTATTAAGTTTTCCATTTCCTTTCCTGGTATTCCAATGTTTCTGCTTGCAATTTTTCTTTTTGCTTGACTCCAAACCATCTCTATTGGGTTTAAGTCACAATGATACGGTGGCAGCAATAAAAGTTCATGATTATGTTCTTTTAAAATCTCTTCAGCTTCATATACAGGCAATGTTTTCTTATCATTAACCAAACACATTAACTCTGCCTTTGTCTGATATTCCTCAAAATGTATTCCATTATTTACAAGCCATTTACGGATATCTGCTTTGGTATTAGACATTATAGGCGGTTTATTGATTTGTTTTATATGGTAGCTGGCATTATCCATAACAATTACACTGGGCTTACTTAAATTTGGTATTAATTTTTCTCTGACCCATTTCATAAAGTTCGATGAGTTCATATCATCATGATAATCAGCAGATTTGGATTTACTACTGAACACTAATAATGCACCAGGCACAAAACCTTCCTCAGATCCAGCATGCACAACAATATGCCGTTTTCCAGAGGATATCTTTGTAGTGACACCAGTTGTTGAAGGTCCTTGCCAAGACTTTTTAACTTTATAATTCTGATGTACATAAGTTTCATCAAGGTACACAATTTGCTTTCCTTCGTTTCGTTTTATATTTATTTCTCTCAAATACTTGTGCCTCCATGCAGAAATCTGGTATTTTTCTATAAGCATAGAACGTTCATTTTCATTGCTTTTAAAAGAAAATCCATTCTTAAGCATAATTTTTCGTAAAGTCTCACGGCTACCACTGAATCCTATTGCATCTTTTAATTCATTGTGAAGGCTTCTTAATGTTGGAACAATTTTTTTCACACAGTAAAATTCATTTACTTTATTCCGAATTGCACTTAAATCAAAATTATCTAAAGCAGACACTGTTGGTTGATGAGGTCGTTTTTTCCCAGGAGTGTCCCATTTTCCTTTATTAATTAATGCTTCATTTTTTATCCTTCTTAGTGTCCTTATACTTACATCTATAAAAGATTAAACACTTTGAAACAAAGATATGTTAAATGTATTTAAAAGCAAATAATGATAGACACATACATCATAATACATAACCAACCTCATTCAAGTGGCTGCCTGGGCTAATACGTCACAAAGAAATTTCAACTTGAAAAGTTCTGCTTGTTCATCTGACATAAAGCAACTGATCATGGAGAAAAGACGTCTCAGAAGAAACTGGCACTTATCTCGCTTACCGGCTGACAAATCAATCCTCAACAAAGCTGCTAAAGAATTAAAAATAGCCATAAAGAGCTCTGTGAACAAAACCATCACCGAAAACATTTGCAGATTATCACCGACAGGCTGCAGTCAGCATTCGCTTTGGAAAGCTGCTTCAAACTTAGAGAGACCTCAACTTCCATGTCCTCCTATAAAATCCCCTTTAACGACGACTTTATGGGCAAGAACAGACCTGGAAAAAGCTGAGACATTTGCAGATTACTTGTCTAGAGTGTTCAAACCCAATGAGCAGATATCGGATGAAACAGAAGTAGACGAAGTCCTGAGTAGAGACCTACAGATGCACCTACCAATCAAGCCAGTATCGCCGAGAGAGGTAGCACGAGAGATAAGAAACCTTGACGCTAAAAAAGCTCCAGGTTTTGATCTTATAACGCCAACGATACTTAAACAGCTACCCAAAAAAGCTGTCACTTTCCTTACTTGTTTATTTAATGCCATCTTAAGAACATCCCACTTTCCATCACTCTGGAAGGTATCACAAGTAGTGATGATACACAAAGTAGGAAAGCCTGAACATGAAACGTCGTCATATAGGCCTATAAGTTTGACGCCTGTGCTCTCAAAACTTTGGGAAAGAACATTCCTTTCGCGACTTCTACCGGCCATGAATGAATGTAGTGTTACTCCAGTTCATCAGTTTGGCTTCAGAAAGGCACACTCAACGATCGAACAAGTCCACAGAATTTATCACACTATACGACAAGGTTTCGAAAATAAGCTTTATTGCTCGGCGGCTTTTCTGGACGTACAGCAGGCTTTTGATAGAGTTTGGCACAAGGGACTCTTGGCCAAAGTAAAGAATAACTTGCCACACTCAATGTTCCTTCTCATTAAATCGTACATAACAGGGCGCTCATATCAGGTCAAACAAGGCGAAGCTAGGTCAAGCCTTTACAAAATCGAGGCTGGTGTTCCTCAAGGGTCGGTCCTTGGACCAGTACTATATACTATATTTACCCATGACCTACCGGTATTGAATAACATCACTGTTGCAACCTACGCTGACGACACTGCCTTCTTATCAACCGACACTGACCCTGGGGTAGCCAGCTATAACTTGCAAAAGCAGCTTGATGCGACACATAGGTGGCTTTCTAAATGGCGGATACGCGCAAGTGCTAGTAAGTCTCAACATGTCACATTCGCTTTGAGGAAAGGCAATTGCGCCCCAGTCAAACTTGGAAATGATATCCTACCACATTCTGACAACGTGAAATACTTAGGATTCCACCTTGACCGACGTTTGACCTGGAAGAATCACATAAAGAATAAAAGGAACGAAATTAACACAAAGTATCGAAGCTTACTCTGGCTGATGGGAAGGAACTCAGTACTGTCCGTCGACAACAAGCTGCTGATATATAATTCAGTTTTAAAACCGATCTGGACATATGGGATTCAAATATGGAGTGTGGCTTGCAAGTCGAATGTCCTATGTCTCCAACGAGTACAAAACAGCATACTGAGGGATATTGTAAATGCTCCCTGGTTTACCAAGAACGATGAAATCCATGCATATTTGAACATGCCAACAGTGGCCGCTGAAATCGAATTGTATCGAAAAAGACACAAGGATCGTCTAAAAAATCACCCAAATCCTCTTATAGCAGAGTTGTTGGACCCATCGAAAGTGGTGAAGAGGTTGAAAAGAGACCACATACTTAATTAGTAGAAGCGGTGTTGACCACTTCACTAAACCAATCTCCATCTACATCAACAAATTCGCTTATGGTCTTGCGACCGATCGCAAATAGCAATATTAAAAAAAAAAAAAAAAAAAAAAAAAAAAAAAAAAAAACATACATCAAAATAATTTAAATACCTATTCAACTATGAATGCAATTTATGTTTAATTTAGTTAAGTTTATGTGCATATTTAGCATGTATAACAATTACATGGTTTGATTAGTTTCATGAATTCTGTGAATTTCCTTGTTAAACAAAACATTCTTATGACATCATTGGATGTCAACAATAAAAACCAATACATCATAAAAAACCTATGTAAATATTATAGGAATACTATCAATCTATCTTAAATCAAAACAAGAAAAGAGACCTGTCATTGAAGAAATTTTTTGTAAGTACTGCGTTTCCGAATTCAGCATTTCTTGTTTTTCTAAAGTTTTTATTGCATTTATCTCCTCCATTATTGGTTGAATATCACCATCACAGTTATCTGAAATAGAGCAATATTTTATAAAAAATATCTGTTTAGTTAATTACAGAAAATTAAAACGAAAGTATCAAAATTATAATACAAAACTAACCTAAAAAAGATACAACTTTATCTAATCGTTGTAATTTCTCTATGAAATTTTTATTTAATTCAGTTTTCACTTCAGTAAACTTGTCAATCATGATGGAAAGAAGTTTCCTCGATGAACTTTTTATCGGCTTCGACATAATTTTTAACCAAAAACACAAGTTCAAATTCGCAAAAACAACAAAATTCAATATTCTTGAATTGTCTAACGTAGTGTCAAACTGACAGTTCTATGTTGTTGCCATATGAAAACGGAAAAATAGGTGGTGTCACGTTTCGCTTGCCAAACTCTATCATGTGACAAGAACACTTTATTAGAGCAACATGTGGCAAATCTTTTTTTAGGAGTGCAAACACTGAGCAATGTTCACCCACCATCACATTGGTCGTATCTGAGCTGAACCCCACCATATTTTCCATGGGTATTTTTTTCTTCTTTAACATCTCTGTCAAGCAGCTGTGCAATCCAGACGCAGTTCCTGATGCTATTTCAACCATATCTAAAAATACTGTTTGTACTTTATTAATGTCATGGTCGTACACAATAGCTGTAAAACAACATTGTTTCAAAGTGCTCTGATCGGTCGTTTCATCCATTATTATTGAATAAAAGCATCCGTTATTACGCATCATTTGATAAGTGCCCTCCATGAAATATTTTCCTAAAATATTTTTTAGAATAGCTGTAGCTTTCGTCCTATGCAAATTAAGATTTCTTGCTATAGTCGAATCTGGAAAAATGTTTGCACAGAGAGAGCCTAAATTATCTATGAATGATATTGGTATGTTGTTTTCAGCTAATGCTCCAGTTAATTTTAATTCAGCTCTTCTTACATTTTTTTCTAGATCTGTGGGAAGTATATAAGATGAAATTTTAGGAACATCTTTTATATCCAGGGATTTTTTCTGATGACGATCTGATTTCATATGGCGAATTAAATCGCTTTTGTGCGCAATAATTGAAGTTGAACAAACTGTACAAAGTGCTAACTCATTTCCATCTTTCAGTTGTGAACTTTTTCGTAGCCAGCTTTTAAAGTCAGCTTCTTTGAGCCACTGATCGTTAAATTTATTCAAACGTTTTACCTTTTTCATTTCATTTTCAGAGTTCATAGAGCCAGCCAGGTTTATATCGGAAGTATCAATATCTGATTCTGGAGTAACAGCGACGGTTTTTGAGTTCCGTTTTTCATCTTCTGGTTTTCGCTTTCGTTCAATCTTTAACAAAAATCAAAAATATATATATGAAAGAACATTCAAAATATTTGGAATGAAAACTAGTATTATCAATGCTTTAAGAATTAGCAACCAATAAACATTATTTTATTTAAATACTTCAAATAACGTCCATTATACCTATAGATAGATACTAAACATCAAAATCCAAATGATGAACAACCAAATCTGTTTAACACATAAATTAGTGCGATATCGAACCCACGGTTCACGTCATAGCACTACACCACCGAATGAGTCAGTAGATTAGAAGTAGAAAAGATACAAGAAATAAAGTACCGATTTATGGTGTCGCCATCTCGGAGGTCCCGGGTTCGATCCCCGGTCGGGTCAATGTCAAAAACTAACTTTGCAATATTGTCTCGGGTCTGGATGTTGTGGTACCGTCATTATTTTCGATTTTCCATAACACAAGTGCTTTAAGTAACTTAACTTGGTATCGAAACAATGTATGTGATGTTGTCTAATATTTATTTATTATTTATCAGTAAAGAAATAAGCTTTTTTATTTATTAAGTCATTTTACCTTTTTTATTTTCGTTTCTGATCCCCTGGAACTAGATGAACTTGTCTCAGAATAAACAATATTTAGACTACCAATTGCGGTTTCTGTTTTCCGTGCACTATATTCTGGTTCTGGTATTCTCTTTCTTTCACTCTTAAACAAATAAAATATAGAAAATAAACATGAAATAAAACTTACTGTGACAAATGATATCAATCAAGAAATATGTTAGTTATTTCAATCCAAAACCAAATTAAAACAATTTAATTAAAACAAATTTTTAACCTACGTTAAAACAATTTTTGCATCAAATATCTAAGTATAATTAATATTGAATATTTGTTTTAACATACCTTGGAATTATCGTCACCCTTAATAACTTTCTCTTTTTCTTTACATTTTAACAACCACTTGTCCATTGTAGCTTTGTATTGTACTAAATAAACGACAAGCGTCAAGCAGTATGTATGAACTCGAAATATGAATGAACACAATAACACTAAACTATTATCTACAATAATCTGTACCTACTGGTTTCACGTAACAAAGCTACAGTAATCAAGGACTTCCCCGAACAAACGATAAAGTTGGGCTGCGTTCAGAAACGGGTATATTTTACCCTGATAGCAGGATAGCTTATTGAGAATCTTCAAAGTGGGAAAGAGACGAACTCTGGTCAGGTGAATTTTCACACGGTTTTGGAACGCAACTATGGATGGAAATAAATGTTGCCATTAAGTCTAATACGAACCTGCCGAATAAACTGAGTTAAAGTTGAACATAATTAATAGATTATACTTACTTCGAATACTTTTATTACTTCTAAGTTCAGTTCTAGATAATAGTATTATATTATCTGTGGTTCTAGTGTAAAAGTCTCAATTCCCCGCATTTTCCCCACATAGACACTCTCCCCACAAATTACCCAATTGAACTGCAAATCCCCGCAGTTTGGGGAATTCCCCACAGATTGGCAACGCTGGTGAAACCATAAACCAGGGTTGTCATACAAAACTTCTAATATGCCGTACGTTAATTATAATTTGTATTGCCATGGTTCAAAATCCAGATGAAAGAATAATTCACGGGTGATGTAAATATTGTTCCGTTTTCTTTTAACTAAATCTTTTCTCAAACACTTGTGCGCCAATCGCTTCGTAAGACAACGTTCAAGGAGAATTCACTAATTATGAAAAAGCTGATTTTTATAATAGTAATATAAAATATACTAGCATCGCTTACCACTTCATTACGATGTAAACCTGTTTAAATCCTTGATCTATGTTGTAAACTAAAGAAACTAGAGAAACTTGTGTAATGTCCACTCAAAATTAAAAATTATTGTTCTGGCTTCTGAAAACCATATTTGCGTTTCTTTACACGTAAATAAAAAATTGTAAAATATTTCACTTTTGAATTTTGGGGTAATAGATAAAACAATACAAAAAAAAAAACTCTGAGCGCGGCTTTCTGATTATATTGTTAAAGATAATTCAAATAGAATTTTAAATGGACTGGGTTTCTCTATACTCAAAAAACATTTTATATTTGTTTGATGAGGAACTTTTGATGGAAGCAAATCATAAAGGGAAATGGATAAATTAGGTTAAATAAATAAAATATGATCTGTAGTTCCTTTCTCAATGCCGCAATCGCAGAGGGGGTTGTCTTTAATTTTAAATTTGGTAAGTCGAACTGGGGAACACACATGTCCAGTTCTCAGGCGACAAATAATTGAAATATTTTTTTTTACATAAAACCTTCTCCTTAAAGAATTAGGGCGTACTGGGGATACTTCTCTGAATGCCAAGATAATACTTCCCACTATATTTCTAATATTTTCCCAATCAATATTCCATCCTCTTTAATGAGGTGTTCATGTGGTAGCACAAAGAGATCGTGATGAAAAAGTTTGGAATATTTTAAAGAGCCAGTTATTGGCTTGTTTAGCAGATCCATCAGCTGTCTCATTTCCAGGATTACCACAGTGTTCCGGTATCCATGCTAGGATAATGAATAGTTTATTGTCTTATTTTTAATATTATGGGAAATTTATTTAGGCACGTAACCGATTTGATTTATACTGTAGTATTCTTTTTTTTTTATTAGTGGCTTATCTGCGTATTTCGCGCAATTCTGCCAATGTCAAGTAAATAAATAAATTTTTACATGTAAAATGAAAATGAAATGAATGAAAGATGGCGATCTATTTTAATAGTTTTGATTTTTGAACTGTCAACGTCAAATAAATTGTACGTCAAAATGTGCTAAACGTAAACAAAACCAAGTTTTTATAAATTTTGCTCTTCTTCGTTTTTTGTTGTAGAGATATCCGTAATTCCTAAACTTAATAATACATAAGTGAGAAATCTTCTTAATAACAGCTACCATAAAATCTAAAAATGGAGCAAGATCCTATGTTATCTTCTGATGACAGCAGCGATTCTCAAATGAAAAACATGAAAAATCAGTTAATTGGTGAGTACTTGGAGTACGATTATAGTGATAAAAGCATATCTGGTTTTTTATAGTGCTACTTATAAGCGATTTATAAAACTCTATTATGAGTTTGTTTATTATATGTAAATGTGTGTTGTATACAATATATCAATTTTTTAGAATATGGATTGGGTGATGAAAACCTTACTAAGGAAGAAATGAGTGATCTTCTAAAAGCTTTAAATAACTCGAAGACTTCAGCTAAAGAGGATGAATTATTGTTGCGCCAAAAGGTAAGTTTTAGCAAATACTTATTTACAACAGTACATAGGTTTGTGACAAAATTGATATTATATTTAATTATACTTGTTGACAGATAGAGCAAGAGCAATGTAATGTAACGCCAAAAAAATCAATGAAGAGAAGATATTTGAATGTGAGAGATCGAAGGATGCCTTGGTGTGTATTGCCTAATACTATTACACAAGCTGAGAAAGCAAGAACCCTGGCTGTGTACATAAAACTGATGTCCATAAACAGCTATCGCCAGGCAAGACAGTCTGCTACATTTGCAAACTGGCCACCTCCAATTCAAATCATAGAAGAAACAACTAGAGTACAACCAATTAGATCCACTCGAAGCGGCCGCTCTATGCCTATTTATGCAGGTTTTGATGACGATTCATCTGATTTTGATCTAGTCATAACTAAAACTAAGAAGCGGAAGATGTCAAATAATGATAACAATGAGGATGATGGTATTTATTCAAATAAAGTTGTAAGCTTAAAAAGGAAATCTCCTAAAGAGGACACTGTAAGACCAATCAAGGAGGTAAAATTAAATGTTGAGTCTGCAGATTTCGAGTCTTTTGCTTTGGGTAACAATTTGAAGCCCAAAAGGAATTTGTTTACCATAATTGAAGACTGAAATTAAATATACTGATTGATTGTGGATATCAAAACTACCAGCTTTTATCTACTGGTTGAGTGACAGACACCTATGAAGCAAGGTTGGGGTAATACATGTATTATATCATATGAAAAATTTATTTGGTTTAAAAATTAATTATGGGCTTGAATACCGTTTTTTTTTATATAAAAAGTGAATTAGTGAAAGGAGTTTGGTTTGACTCACTTGGCATTATTAGTATATTTTAATTATATAATGTATAATTTTATGTTTATGATATTAACTGTGTAACTGTTATCAGAAAGTGTTTCATTATTTATACATATTATTAAAATGGTAGTGAATATAGATATTGATTAGTTTTGTTTTTTTTTGAAGTAAACAAAACAATCTTTGTATGGTTAACAAGGATTATATTTGAGGGAAATCAAATGTATTTTTAATATCCTTGGTGTGTGGTAGGTATTGAACAGTTTGCGGTACAGAGTCTTGCATCTCATGATCTTGCTCTCATGAGCCGCACACCAAGGGTTGGTGTCAATTTTCTTTGTATGATAAACTAATTATGATTAGCTATAATTTGCAATGTGACGGAGATATGAAGGAAAACGTGATTAGCAATGCAATTTAGATAATTTCAGATGTTGAAATTGTTGTCATGTACAAATATGACCGTTAAATGAGGTCAATATAGTCAAGGTCTTGTGACTCATATGTGTCAGTCTTTAATTTGTTGTATATTTTGTTATGGTTAAAAATAAAAAAAGTAGAAAGTGTATTTATTAGCAATTTCTTATTTTTGATAAGTTTTGCATTGATAATGTTACTGATTGATTTATATTTGGTAGAAAAATACGTAAAATATTCAACTGAGCATTTCCCGGTGGCAACTATATATCCCGATTCGACATCAGAGGCAGTTGAAATTTTTAAAGTATTTTTCTATTAGATACATATATTTATTAATTTTAGCTTTTAACAATTGAGTAACTATTTTCACGTACAATCACAATAATTTTTAGTTTTCAAATTTATGTGTTTTTGGGGTTCGGAGTACCGGCACATTATTACGAATTCGCATTACGTCGTAAATGTCTGCGCGATTGCACGAATGCACGTAAGAATTTTCGAAATGATTACTATTGCGTATTACCTAGCATTTGTGATTGTGACGTCATTACAGTCCGATGAGAAAGCATAAGGGAAAAACGCTAAAAGACACATTCTGAATAATAAAAAAAAGTATTTTCTTCCAATTATTATATTTAATTAATTTTGTATTCACAATGCCATACTGAAAAATATGACAATATAGAATAACAGTAGTGCAACAATATTAGTGCGCTTGATTTCACTATTGTTAAAATAACATTTAATACGGATGATTATCATTGAAGGTATGGTCACCGGAACCATCGGATTTATATTCGATATCGTATCGTATACATCAATATCGTAAGTTCCTGCGATGCGGCGTCGTATCGCATAGCTCGCAGTTTTGTGTGGGAGCCCTTATTTATTTGAACAGAATTTGTATTCGCTTACGTTATACGTGCGCCTGGTTGACAGATTAGGCTACGTAGTTTTATAATTATTGTTGCCTAGAGTAGTGGTTCCTAAATGTTGTTTGGGCTCAGATCCATTTTACAAAGCTTATCAATCTCGGGATCCATCTCTTAGTTATTTTAGAGAAAAAGAGAGCAGAAATATATGTCATAAACTGTGACTATACTCGTTCAAGAAGGGCCACTAAATTTTTGATGATGGGTTGTGAACTCGTGATCCATATTTAGGAAGCACTGGCCTGGTAAATAATTCCCAGAAATTCCTAGACTTTAATTTGAAAAAAAATCCGCCCCTGCACGAAAATTCGGTTGGTCTTATAAGTTTCTTATTTATTTGTTTTACATATTTGCATGTTTAAAATAGATATTGTGATTTCTAATAATGTATTTTTAATTAAATAATTAAAAATTGTATAATTATATATTTCTTGTAAATATTGCTGCCTCTATAATACAGAGAATTAAACATTTAGACGTTTGTTTTGTTTTAATATATTTATTGTAGTAGGTAAGTGGTAGTAAAAAAAAAAGTAGATTTTTATTTGTAGTAGCGCACTAAAATGTAAATAATGTAAATGTTGTTTTTACTTTCGTTTCATCCTATTGATTTTTGACATTGTAAGTTGAATTCACAAGTTTCATAAGTTGATATTTCATTTCTAAGTTCATATGACCACCTTTCAGCTCCATCATTACCAGTCCGTGGTCTGGAAAGCATCCAGGACCAAAGCCCAAACACGATGCAGTTGTCAGACTTCATCATGTCAGCTAACTGATACCATAATATTGCATTGTCATCTGACTTACATGTCTATGCAAAATTTCAAATCTATTGGACATTGGGAAGTGGGCCAAATTTGAGTTCCAAGATTTGCCTACAGACAAACACACTGACATACAACAAGGCAAGTTAAATAAAATCAAAAAACATCTAGAATTTTTGATAGATATTTTTTTGTCATAAAAATATGTACACTCGGCTGCACGACAAGTTACTACAATACGTCAACTGTAATGGATTGTGACCTTTGCCTTCAGGTTAGGTTATATTTTAAGGTTTAAAATCGAGTGGGGACATTTGACATAATTGTACCTATAGCCTGACGTGCAGTTGACTGTACTTAGGTATATATATAAAAATTGTAGATCAGTCACGCTAGTAAAATTTTATAATATCAATAATAAATTCTACAGGTCCTAACCTCTTTTTCTGAACCTGTTAAAAATACTCATGTCTATGTTCATTTCATATTCACTGTCATTTTCAAAAAAGTATTTTTGTACCTATCCATCTCAGACCACGTTTTGCCCAAATATTTCTTGTTCCCTTTATGATATTTTACCCACCAATATTCCTCGCCCACTTAATAGCAAGTTTGTTCTTCAGTCAATTAATGATGCTTCAGTCGTGAAATCCCTAACTAAAGTTTTCAGTGTTAATCAATTAAAACTTTAACATCAGTAGTGTTATCGCTCACTCACTTTAACACAATCAGTTGATTTAATAATGGTCTGTGGTAAGACTCAAAATGATTATGATTAAATGATTGTTTGTATAGAATAATTCCTTAAATACCGTATTAAAATCGTTTAACGTGTTGTTTTTGGTAAATCCATGTAGAAAGATAGAATTGGTAATTCAAATTTATTTGGTTGAATTAATGTATTTAAATCGTGTAATGGTCTCCTACGTGAAGTTGGCTGTATTGTGGTGACGCAAAGTGCCATTAAAGTTAAGAAGAAGAAGAAGAGACCGTACATACAAACAAAGGCACTTATATGACGTAATAAACGATTATGGTATGCCTAGTTATATTAACGAATGATTTCCTAGAAGTGCTTATTTGGAAATATCGAATATCCATATCCCGATATTTGACTTCCTGTTAAAGCACATAGTGGTTCATAATGAAATAGATAATTTTAAATAATCGATATCTCACAATGATACATACATTATAAAAGCTCGATTTTGTTAAGCAACTTTCGCCAGAGTTCGCCACGGGATTGGTGACTAAGAAATATTAGGTACGCTAAGCTCCCTCCAATCCGCATTCAGACCGTCACGGCCCATCCACCACAAGGAAGGCCTGAGCCCCTGGCTTCTGCAGTGGGGATATAAAAGGGTTGATGATGATGATGATGATGAATAATCTTACATCAATTGGCAATATTTTGGTCCAGGCATAATCCATACGATTGACACTTGAGTAATCACTCGAAATATATATAATACAAGATATTTGAAATGTCTGATACAACGAACTTCAAAATAAGATACCCTTTGAAAAACGGGCTAGGTACGAGAGCGGTTCAGTACTATGGTACGGAACCCTTCATACATAAAAAAAAATCACGTTTTTCTTTTTCTATGGCGTTGTTCGAAATTTTCGAGTTAAATACAATTGGTCGACTTTTACTACTAAAATTGTAAAGCCAACTTAAGTGGAATACTTTTCCTTTAAACGTCATATACCTACTTTTCTTTTCAACTACATAGAAAGTGACCAACTCCGAAAGTGACCTAATCAGAAAATGTCGTATACAGAAAGTGACCTCCTAAGAAAGTGGCCTACATCGCCAAAAGCAAAAAATTGGTACTAGAAAGTTGCAATTTGCCATGAGTATACACGTTTATTATGCCGACAAAGTGATAAGTAAAATTACGAAAAAAAATTTGCTTTTGGCGATATAGGTCACTTTCTTAGGAGGTGTGAACACAGAAAGTGACCAACTCCGAATGTGACCTAATCGGAAAATGTCGTATACAGAAAGTGATCTATATCGCCAAAAGGATTTTTTTTAGGTTGAGACAAACGGACATAACGTTCCTTATTTACTACGGAACCTTAAAAATATTTATATTTCATTAATTTTCAACAAATCATTGAATCATTGTTTACATTCGATAAGTTTGTGATATATATATTTTTATGTTTTTAGATAGATGTCGAGTGTTTTGACAGCCTTGTTTAATTTGAAGACTCTTAAAGACTTGTTTTTTACGGTGTCCGTTCCTTCAAGGGGAATAACAAACCTTTATAGGAACATTCGTATGTCTGTTTTTGCTTCGTACTGTCATAGCCAATTAGCTGCAAAACTACTGAACCAATTGAGTTGAAATTCATTGCTGAATGCTGAATGAAGTTCATTGCATTTAAGCCGATGATTCAACGGACGTGCATGGGATGATTAAAGGGGAATTAATTTATAATATTAACAACATAATTATAACATTAATAAGCTGACAATTATTTATGTATGAAACAGATCTGCGCAGGATGGGCAAGATAGAATCACCACTTTAGATTCAATACTAAGACATCAACATACCTACTTACGTACTATTTACTGTTGAATAGAAAAAAATAGTGCATTCAGGCGAGCAATTCTGTGAAATCCGAACCCGAATTCGAATTTATTCATTTAATTTCGGAATTTACGTCATTTAGTGAAGTAATTCCATTGATTTAATTTTTTGCACAAAAATACAAAGCGAAATTGATTGATTATACGCGTCTCAGATATTCTATTCCTATGTCATTTCGAAACTCACTTCACTTATGCCACGAAACGCTATTTATTACCAATTCTAGTTTGAGTGGATGCCGCCTTTTGAAGTGAATTCAAACACCTGAGTGAATTCGAATTCGTGTCTGGTTTTTTACAGAGTCGCAGGGCAGATACACAAACCGTGATTGAAATTTACCTAGTTACCTATGATTTTATTTGGCGAGTTCAATTATCGATGTCCGAAATGATTTAATTCATCATAACCAGCCCATTAATGTCATTGCTGGGGCTCAGGGTCTTCCCTATGGATGGAATCGAATCAAATCGGATAGGGAGAATGGCCCGCGTGACCCATCACGCGGGTCCAGTGCGAATAACGACTGCAGATGCAGTCGGGACCAACGGCTTAACGAGTCTTCTGAAGCACGGAGGAGTTCGAGATAATAAATTTTTGGTCACCCATCCTATTACCGGCCATTGCGAAAGTTGCTTAGCATCCGTATCGCAGACAGAACGATCAGCAACTGTATTATAAATATGAACGATTTAATCGTTTCATGTAAATTTTGTGAAATGATTAAAGTAGACAGTATACTTTTACTTATCTAATATTTGTTAAAGTGACATGCAGAACCGTTATTGTTGAAAAGCCGTTTCAATAACAAGCCTAAACTACATAAGAGTCTCTCCCCACAGAAGTGGAAGCTTTATGCATTGGACGTGCATGGGACGTTAAAAGGATCAGAATAATATTAGACCTTGCCAATGACAGAGGGTCAGATTGTCACGTTCGTTTGCGTAGTTACATATTGAGTGGATAAATATAAAAAATCATTAAACAAATATGAAACAACTTTTCTAGCTAGCTAGCGGCTTCAGCCGGGTGGCTTACATGATGACTTGACAATACTAGCGGCTGACACGATGAGTAACAGAATGAAATATAAAATTCTTTAAAAAAATAGAACAGATTTTAAACTTTACAAAAGCGAGAAATAATACCTACTTACTTATCTTATAAGTGATTTAATCATTCAAGCAACTGAAATTGGAGTCGGGCTAAGGTTTTATTGTAAGTTATTATAATGATACCTGCCACCCACTTTTTTAAAGTTTGAAATGCTCTATTTTTTTTAAATAAATTTTTTATACATTTTTTTTAAAAGACGGGGAAATTATGTTGTAGAGGTTTGATATTTAACGACCAAAACAAATTTTTGGTTACTTTAAATTATATTTTTGATATGGATAAAGAAAAAAAATAAAACAAAAGCAAATTCAGTTATATAAAGGTAAGTATTAATCTACACAAAGCTATTAATAGTTATTGTGAGTACCTATATACTAGTAGTCATTTATTTACACTTACTTTAACTAATTAAAAATAATAACCAAAAGTCATATATATAACCCACGCTATAAATAAATCACGATTTATTAAAGAATTAAGGAAGAATGTAGACAATAATAATTGAAATTGTTATTACAGTATTATTATAATTATTACAGTAGTAATTTTCACATAACACAATATTATAATTTTGAAGTAGACTAGATTAGGTAACTAAACAGATTGTTAATTATTCTTATCTTTGTAATAATATTCAGTTCCTCAATATATTGAATATTTTACAATTCAAAGGAGACAAGATTTCCAGCAATGCGTAATGCCTGCTTTCTTGTATGAAACGGAAACGTGGACCCCACCAAACAACATGCGAAAGATTTACAAGGAGCTCGGCGAAAAAATGGAACAAGCCATACTAGGATTACATTATGAGACCGAATCCGAAATATGACTAAACGCAGATTCCCCAAACAACTCGATATAGCTCGTCTCATTACATGTACAGTTACAGACTCACAGGACAGACAACCGGTGGATTTACAAGATACTGGAATGGCAACGGCTGCCGAGAACAGGTAAGAAAATATTGGCCAGAAACGAGCTAGATGGGCAGACGATATATCCAAAGTGATGGGGAATAACTGAGAAAGAAAACCCGAATAATGTAATAATTGCCGCAGAATGTAGGAGACCAACACTCAGCTGTGACCCTATTGTACTTTTCTCCTTACAATAGTACAATAGGGCCATCCCAGAACCAAGAACGCCATGCCTATGGCGGTAGGCTTTGAGTGTCGGCGTAAACTGCACGTCTATTTCTATGTATGATCGTTTTAGACTTCCTTTCATTAATTTTCAAGGGTACATTGAAAACTGGCACTGTAATACTAATGAATTTTACTATCAGGTTTATAAAGTGAATGTTGGGTAATGTCTCCTCTATTCTCAATAACAGTTTTGATCAGTGATGGAGGAGCTACTTTTAGATCGTACGCCCATCCTATAGCTGCGAATATATCAAGTAGAACAGTCGTCAAGTTCGTCGTATAGGGAAGTTCTGCAGCTTTGTAGTCCCATGGGAAAGTGTGGTGGTAATTGTGCCAACCTTCACCCAATGCCATAAAAGAGACACCATAGTTTTCGACCGGCATAATGTTACTGAAATGAAGAATAATAGTTAGACATATGATAATAGAGCATTGGTAAAGAAGCAACTGTCTTCTCTACACATTTTGGGACAGACAGAAAAATCCTTTCACAGAATGATTTCATAAATTTTTCAGTAACAGAACATTTCCAAGATATTCTGTCTCAAAGAAAGCTAGTTAAATATATTTTCTTCTAACTGGATTATGTTAGCGGTGGTGGTCTGTTGCTCAGAAGTTAACTAGATAGTAAACCAAGTTCTAAACGGAAATCATAAATAAGTTAATTCTCTTGAGTAGAAAAATAGGTTAGATAATTACCGGTCATAAGGTTTGTTGCCCCAAAGATGAGCAAAACTGTTGACGGACCATGTGGCGTTCAGCGTTATGATGTACCGCATCAACTGTGACATCACAGCAAAGTACCAGCTCGTACCGAGGAAATATACTGGTATGAGAATCGGAGTGATGAAGCAAAAAATTAATTTAAGTATGATGAAGTGCCTGAAACAATACATTCTTTTATTAACGTGGATATCTACAAAATGATAACTACCTAAGAGAACCCACTTATTTTAAAAGCCGAATGGTAAATCTTTTGAGTAGTTGTTCTGTATTCCTACTAGTCAGAGGGACGAAAAACTGTAATATATATGTAAATAAATGTAGCTGACTTCTAGCTCTTGGATTTAAAAAAAACAGTGGCGTCCGCACCAATTTATAGCAAACGGTTCTGCTACAAAAGGAAAAGAAATTGTTGTTGTAAAGATAAATGTATAGATTTTAATTAAACTTAAGCGTAAAATAAAAAAGGTAATATTAAATAACACTATTTGTAAATTATTATGTTTGATCAATTTTGTAATTTTGGTATTCTACAAGTTGTTCTTATTGAAAAATGCCCAAAAAATCCCAATAAAAAGTTCCATCTCAGAGTGCCAGGGAAAAAGATTTTTTATCATTTTTCAATAAGAATATTATTTCTAAATTCAAAGACAATAATTTCTGGTTGATCTGTCGGGACGCGACATTTTACTCGATTTCAAAGGACGGGTTATGTTTTTCAATGTGGGTTAAAGGGCTCAATACTTTCCTAAAGGTTATTATTACCATAATACTAATATAATTTAGAAATGTGGTCTTTGTTCTTTCACATTAACCTAACCTAACCTGGTAATTTGTCTAACTAAAAGAAAAAATAAATATAAAAAAGACATAAATATTGCCTATATTGTATTTTAAACTTATCAGAATGTCAACTACGATTTTTACTAAATAAAGATACAAAAATCCACCTGCGTGAGAAACAACTTACTGGAAAGGCTGGAACAAGATCGAAAGTAAGTTCGAGACTATTTTTAGAACATAATAGTACTGCTGGGCTTTTCAATTCTTGCATGTATGGATTAATATATGTCGTTTTTGGTGTGAATATGAAGTTACCTATTATGGAACTGTATAAGCGGATCACTGGTGATATCAGACATGTCGATCTTGGCACCCTGTCTCAGCACTTCTGGGTGTTTTTTCATCATAAGCCATCCGACGTGTGAGAAGAAGAATCCTCGGTTCGCGTCATGGGGATCAGCTATTGTTTCAGAATATTTGTGATGCACTCGATGATCACGTACCCATTCATATATGTTATTCTATAATACATAATTATTATTTAATCATAAATAAAGAAGTTTAGGTAACATATTATAATAATAATAAAATATTTTCATTATAAAGTATATACGAGTACAACTAGTAGGCATTCGATAGAGCATTGTCATGATTGCTAAATCAGTGGGTTAATTTTCTAAATTTAAAGTTTATCGCAATCCTTTTCAAAGGAATGGAAATTGTGATAGCGATTTATGGAATTTAACTTAACTTAAACGCCAAGGGCATAAGATTCATTAAAAACTTGTTATCACCGATGTCCAAAAATCTGCAGAAATCGATATTTAAATTGAGTGTGTCTCAGGGCTGTGAAAGTCTACGATATATTTGGACAAATGCAAAACAGATTGTTCATAGTCATTAAGGCTTAAAAAAAAATCAAAGAGGAACAGGAAAATTTTCTTTCTTCAAAAGGCACTCTTTTATTAAACCACAGCATTACGTGTCGTATAATTTGGCATTACAATTCCAAATAAGTAAGAAAAGGTTCAAGTAGCTATTTAATTTGAATACATAAATAAGTAATTATATATTCAGTAACGTGCAAGTAATTTGTTAAGAAAATATAAATGTTAAATCAAAATAATAGAGGTCGCTTTAAAGATTTGAACTTACTTGACCTGAAGCTGAGAAACATATTGCTAAGATAACTTGCAAGGGCCATTTTGCTTTGAAAGTTTTATGACTCCAGAAACGGTGTGCTCCTCCAGTAACTCCAAATCCAGCTATGATTCCGATAAGCACAGCTGTTGAGAACATTGAATAGAATCCATATTACATATTATAAAGATAAAAATTCTAAATTTTATTAGAGAAAATATTTTATTCTGAATTAGAATGGGAAAATACATCTATCACAACATTTAGATACGCTTGAATGGTAATGTTGGATCTAAATTGCATCTTTATAAAAAAAACAGGCCAAGTGCGAGTTGGACTTGCATACGAGGGGTTCCGTAACCAAAGAGAATGGATGTGTCCTTCATTATGAAGTACTTGACTAGTCCTAGTAAGATAGTACATATGCAAATAAGTGCACAATAGGTAGGTTACTTTAAAATTATCACGTTTTTAAAATCTTCGTATAACATAATTTTACACTAGACACGTTTGAGACATATTTAGACTTATTTACATTGCATACCAACGATGAAGCAGATGTTGTGTGAAGAAAAGGCAACATAAAACGCAACCCGAAATCGACTTTTACAAATGCTTTTAAAATATCTTCTAGAACTGAGATATTTTATGATTCTGAAGGATCAATGAGAGGAAATAAAAGAAATTCAAACGTTATATTCAGATACTCACCATAGCTCAAATCTGTCAACTGGAACAATTTTGGATAAAATATAAGTGTGTGAAGAAACCACGCCGTTATAATCACATGGGATAAGCTTATTGTGATTAAATTTATCCATCGGATGGGCGTGATGAAACCGATGCGCTTCTCCCATTTGCGTACGGGGGACATGAAACGGAACTCATTTTTTGGCAACATTCGATCGTAAGCATCTTTCTGTTCATATTGTTGGCTATTGTATACAATCAGAGCTGTCGTGTCATTCTCTTCATTGAATTCACTGCATTCCAACCTTTCTATAACAGTTGTCTTAGTTGTTGCTGTTAAAGTCATTGTTGACTATTCTGAAAATGAAAATGATGTCTTATAGAAAAATTCTTATACGTTTACCGATACCATGTATACCATCTTGGGCACCTGCACTAACTATTAACCCTTTCCAACCAGCAAACATTTTCTTTAAAAAGACGAAAACTCAAAAAATGCAGAATATTACCATTATTCTGAATTTTTTTAATGAAAAAATATTTCTAAATGTCCTTAAAATTTGAACACGATCGTGCGTCTCAGAAATCAATTGCAAATTCAATGCCATATAAATTTTTTAACGAAACAGCATTTTATCAAAAAAAAAAAAAAAATATTAAAAAGTTTTAACGGCATTATAACATAGCATCGTACAAATTAAGTATAATAACACATGCTTGTTTGTAGCAACGTTTAACATTGTTGTACCTCTTGGCCTACTATTAGTGGTTCTTGTTCACTTCCCAGGTTCCGTACTATCAAAAATATAACACGGGTTATTTCTGAAATATTTTTATGCAAAGGGTTGAGAAGTATCGTATAGTTTACTTATTGTTGATGTACCAAGAGAACATAATAATTTCGATGTAGGTCATATAAGATTTCCGATCGACTATTTTTTATTATTTTTAAATGCCTTTGACTTTAGATTGAAATCTTCCAGTATAAGCAAATGATGCAGTACATATGTACAACATAAATGGCAGAAGATGACGCGGGAATTAGAGTGGTATTTCAGTTTTCCACAAGAAAAGTATTCGTTTCATGTAAATTAAGGTAAGGGCTACCTCACCGAATAGTTGTTTATCATAAAAATCTTAAATTTAGAAAGTAACCGTCTGCGTCGTCAAGTACTTCCGAAATCTAATTAACTCGAAGTGGAGCTTCTAGAATTCAATAAAAAATACTTCGTCAATTATTAAAACACGATTTAATTCTATAGCCACACATGTACTACCAAATACATCACTTTCGTTCACTAATCGAAACTACACGATCGTGTAAAATCATATTCAACTGTATTAACAAAATAAAAAGAATTTTTGTTTAATTAACATTAAATAAATCACATTAACATATATATAAGTAGTATATATAAGTCTAAATAAACCCTAACACCGGTAATAATTGAATGCAAAATTGCACTCACGCAAATTACTGCTTAGGCCAAAAGAACTTACATCTTTGCTACTGTCTGAACGACTGGCGACAAATATCAGCCCCGAACTTCTACAGACACGACTACGAAATTTTGCACGATATATCTACGCTGTTTGCGGTCCAAAGAGTTGACTTCCATGACGTCAGGATTGTTTAAAAGTTGTTTGTTCGTTTGTATTTAGCCGCACGGAAAACACAAATCGAAAAATAAATATGAAATTGAATAAATATATTTGTGTTTATTGAGTAAACTGTTACTATATATGATTGAACCAGCGCGTAGATCTTTCATTGGATCAACCCAATTGTAGTGACTTTTAAATAGGGAATTCCCCGATTCGACAAAATTAATGTTGACTTAATGTTTGTATGTATTATTCGCTTATTTTTAATCTTCTTTTTTGTTTTTATTAACAGTGTGTTAATATCCCCACCGCTGCGGAACAGGCCTGCGCTATCAATGGAAATAAATAGGGCGATAGCCAAAACCAACCACGCGAGCCAATTGTAAATTGAAACACGGTTAAGTGATAATAAACTCCAAATTTTAGTCACCCATCCTATGGCCCGCACTTGCCAAAGATGCTTAACCCTCGTATCGCAGACCGAATGTGCTGACCACAGAGTTATTATCATCGTGCTCTTCATTTTTGTTATTTAAACCTATACAATATGTGTGACTCATGCAAGCGTAACACTCGATGATGTGTTTAGAAGACATGTTAATGCAAAATTTTCCTTCACATTAGAAATGTGTAGGTATAGATTACAAACAGTCCAGGTTGTCCTGAGATTGTTTATCAGTTACGGCGGCGCAGACCAGGTGTGAGGCACTTGGTGGGTTTCGACTGTTAGACCAACTGCACTGGATGTACCTTGCAGTTTGAGAGGCCTGGATTAGTCGACCTCTCGTCCTGCAGGCGTATTCGCTAACTCAACTCACAATCTAAACTCATTATCACCGAAAAAAGTGAGCAATTCCTGGCAAAATCACTAATTCGTATTTTCTATCAATGCTTCGCAATTCTGAAATGTCAATATTGCTAATCTCGACTGAACTCCATTTTAGTACTTGATTTTATATCGATAAACTGTTTTTCGTATTCCGTAAGACTAAGTGAAAATAATAGAAACTGGTTAGGGATTACTGATTTATTAAAAAACAGTTACAGAATATCAAAACCGAGCGATGATACCAACAGACCTTGAACAATTTAAATAATTGTCATCAGAAGTTTTCAGAGTTACAGAATAAGGGGGCTGGTCGATGAAGTGTTAAAAAAAGTACGGATTGCATAACCCTTAAATATATTACGTAATCTTTTACCAGCTTTAACTTAAAGCGGCATGTTAGTGTGGATCAAATCGTGCATGCTTTCGACTTACTACCGAATTGTTCACTTCACTGTTGTATTTCCACTTTGTTTTTATTTTTATATCAGTATTTTAGTGACAATTTAATTTTTAGAAGAAACTATTAATGCAATAACGGGGCTTTAAATGCAGCCAATCCAACAAAAAGATTCATCTTATTCAGTCCACTATAATGTTGATGAAAAAAACAGTTGAACCACGGCCCTATTTAACACATTTAAAAATGATAATTAATGAGTTCAGAAATGATTGAAGACATGTAGGTCCAAAATATAATTTTCGGAGCAGAATAAATAGAATCTTGCTTGAAGGTAAATGGGTTAGGTTTTGCCTATATATGTCTGACACTAATTGCTCTACATCAAAGAGAAATCGATGATATAAGCTTATTTAGTTTGAATATGTTTCATGATGATGATTAATTATCATGGTAGCAGGGTAGACCGGGTATAATTTTAAAACTAATATAAACCGTTGTAACAGCACGAAAATTATGTTATGTAGGTTTAAAATATTTTTAAAATACTCCGAAATCTGTAACATTTTCGTTAAAAAAATAACTTTTTACGTTGGATGTTTAAAGACGCCACAGTTTAGTCTTATCATGTTGTTTGGTATCCAGAGAAATTGTAATAAGCCCAGTCCACCCCAACGTTATAAGGTTACGTTTGATAGATGTAATTTGTATTGTCATGTCGATGTGATAGGCAACATATATAATATGGACATACTTGAATGGAACACGCGAGGATGGCAATTAATTGTTCATATGGATTGTGATATATCGAAACTGGCAGTTCAAAATTGGAATAACTTTTAACGAGGAAAGTTTTCACTATTTCTAATATAACAACGTATATAGTAATAAGTAATTTTTATTAAGCTCCTATTTATACATAATAGTTTTATCCAAATGTGGCTAAAAGTGTTTATGTTTAATTTATTTTGCTTAAACAACGTGAATACGCTTTGTCCCAAAGATGCATTTGCTCGATTACCTTTTATTTTGGAATACGCAGTTTGGCGTGGATGGCAACAATCCATTATATATGCTCCGAATTTTGAGACAGGTATTTAAGTTACTTATTACTTATACTAAAGAGAATTACCCAAATTAAACGTCACATGTTCATGATATTTTCAGTTCATAATAATACGAAATACAAAATAAAATATTTAAATATTATAATGAAAAAAAAAGAATGTCAGCGACACGAACATTAATAATCTTAGTAACTGAACATCGACTTTAATGCATGTATTTGTAGCCTTGCTTGTTTTTTTTTTCTTTACAATTGATACAGCTGACGTAATGTCTTAATTGATTTTTATATTTAATTTATATTTATTTTTAACATTTCGTTTAATTAACATGCATGTGTATTGGATTGAGTGCATTAATAAATAAATAAATAAAAATTGTATTGACTACTTTTGCGATTGTATTAAAGGTTCGAATTACGTATGTAACAGTGTCGTGTTTTGAGATTTATATATAAAATTTTGATATTTCATGCCAATTTTGCTCTTTACAGTTAAACCGTGGAAAGTTTTAGTATGAAATGAACAAGCGTCTCAGATGTCTTAAAACGGAAACTCTTCTTAACCTATATTTAAATGTAGAGTAGACTACAACATGAAATATTACATGATCAACTAAATTTTATTAGATCATATTGTACTGATGCACTTTAAGTGGATGCTGTCTTAATTTTATAATAGGTAAAATGCTTAAAATTCAGCTTTGTTCCTGGTACTCTGAGACGGGATTCGAACGCATGACCTTCCGCAATACGAGCGACTGCTCCGCCCGTGAGCAGTCCGTCAGAAGCATTTTATATAGCGTTTTTAACCTATATTTGTATATAGGTTTAAAGTATACTTTCATCAATAATTTGTTTATAAAAAATCGCAAATAATTATTGTATTTTATAAACGAATAGCTAGTTCTCCACGTCTTCACCCGCATCGATGGTAGCCTATGTCACCCGCTATAATGTAAGAATTTTAAAGTTCGTATCAGTAGTTTCGGAGCCTACTTAATACAAAGAAAAAGTAAAAAAATTCCTTTTTGTAATATTTGTATAAACTAAATCTGTATGATTATTTTCTGTGCTCAAGTTTCTCTCGAAATATATGTTTAGTTATTTATATTTAAATGATCATCTAGCTCATCGAAAATAAGTAAATAAATATCTGAATATTCTGTAAACAAACCTGATGAACTTACCTTTTAATAGTAAATGATTTAATACAGTTTCACATTACACAATAAATTAAACTTGTCATGAATCACTGAGTGAGATCATTTCACTTACATTCCAATGCACAAATGACGATTAAAAGTAAATAATTGAAGATGGACCGGTAAATGTCATATCACGTGTGGTTATGATACGTGATTTTTGCCAACTTTCGTCTGAAAGTTATACGGTTTCCGGCACGTACATGTTAGTCAAAGTTCTTTAGAATCATATTAATTGATGCAAAATTATTCGAATCGATAAAATAGTTTCGTTATAACTTGTTCATTTTGTTATTTTCAATGAGTCATTTTGTTTTATAATACTAAGATTTTTGTTTTGGAAAATCTACTTCCAATCGAACCGTCATCCGCGACTTGAGAAAATTTACTATGATATGTTTCAAGAACAAAAAATAGTTCTTTTGTGTAACAAATAGGTGATTTAAGTTGGTCGCAGCAAACTACTTTACACAAAAAGCTACTTTTTTTCAACAATATCCTTTAATTAATTACTATGTCAAAAAATATATACATTTTTCAGCTTTTTAATGACACTCTTTCAGAGGGCCTGAACAAATGATATATAAGAAATCTCCAATATAGTTACTCTTTAAGAAAATTGTTTCGTATTTTATTTGAAACAAACTCATTTGAGTTTGAGATTTTATTTTTAATTTTTTTTTTTAAAAAGCTGTTTAGTTTTAAAGACTGATATTGATCATGCAGATCATGAATAGATGCCAGGGATGGCATCTATTCTGGCAACAAATTCCTTTAATTTGAAGTTTTATATAGTCAAAATAATTGTAATCCAGCGATTATAAGTCTGGAGAATATGATGGACTTTGAACAAATTTAATTGACTCTGCATGATCAATATCAGTCTTTAAAACTAAACAGATTTTTTAAAAAAAATCTTAAAAATAAAATCTCAAACTCAAATGAGTTTGTTTCAAATAAAATACAACTATTATTCTTTGTAAAATAACACCTGCAACTAATGTAACACAACGCATAGAAACGAAGAAACATGTTAGAACAAGGCTATCAAATTCTGGCCTATGTCATCTGCGTATAATATAGCTTTCTGTAGATGAAAAAAATAATTAAAATCGGTTTAGTAATTTCAAAGCCTATTTAATGCAAATAAATAAACTATCAAATCTAATCTAACATACTAATACTTTCACGAGAAGAGCGAGCGCCACAAGCTCTTACGCACATTCCTTTGTTATATATATATAATGCTAATAAATAATTAGCATATAACAAGTTACGAATATTTTTTTGTACATTTTAAGTAAATACTAGGTACTAAGTGATATTAGCTCCTAGAGTCGAAGGTTGGCGTATTCTCACGGAGGAGGAGTCCTTATCGGATCATCGATACATCCGATTTGTGATCTCCGGCAAACAATAACCAAGCCACTGGCTCGAGAGAGGGATCTCGCTTTCCAAGATGGGTTCTCACTAAAATGGACCTCACGATTGTGAAAGAGGCCTCCATGGTCCAGTCCTGGGTGCTTGAGACTATGGGCAAATCGGGGAGTGTAGACCAGTTTGCGGAGTGCATCAAGGATTCTCTGACTGAGATGTGCGATGCCTTCATGCCTCGCTGTGCTGGTTCCAAATAAAGAACCCAGGTGTATTGGTGGTCGGCTGAGCTTGAAAGTCTCCTGAAGAGCCTGAACAAGTGACGTGCTCTCCTTCGCAGTCACCGCAGAAGCCAGCGGGATTCGTCGACAGAAGCATATCTTAAAAGGGCGTATGCAGAAGCAAAGAGGGCTCTCAGGGAGGCAATCTGCTGGGCTAAATCAGCCGCGTGGGAAGTGTTCCTGAAAGATCTCAATTGCAATCCGCCCCCACGGATTGCCGTACAAATTGGTACGAGACAGGATGTAACAACATCCACCCGCCACGGATCAAATGGACCAGGAACTCTTACACAGAGTCATATCGGCCCTGTTCCTCGAGAGCTCGCCGGAGATTCCTTCTCTGCTTCCCGTCAGGTCTCTGGATGACGAGACGGTCGATTTTTTCCCAGTCACGGACGGGGAAATGGAGGAAATTGTGGAGCGTTTACGCCTCAAAAGAAAGGCTCCGGGTCCTGATGAAGTCCCCGGCAAAACCCTACGCCTTTCACTAAAACACCTGAGACCACACATAAGGTCCTTAATGGACAACTGTCTAGAGCGTGGACGGTTTCCCAGGTGTTGGAAGAAGGGTAGGTTGGTCCTTCTAAGGAAGGATAACAAGCCGGCGGACTCTCCGTCGGGTTATCGACCGGTTGTGCTGCTGGACGAGGTCTGCAAAGTATTCGAGAGAATCGTTGCAGGCCGAATCGTCCAGCACCTGGAGACAGTCGGCCCGGATTTATTCCACCAAAAATATGGTTTCCGCAGACGTCGCTCCACAATCGACGCCATTATGAAGCACCGGGAAGAATGTGACCTAGCATTTGGTAGGGGAGAGAAGTTGATTGCGGTGTCTCTTGACATTTAAAATGCCTTCAACTCTCTTCCCTTCCAATGTATCGAAGACGCCTTGCACTTCCATGAAGTGCCCCATTATTTGAGCAAGGTGGTCCTTACTATCTCAGTGAGAGAGAGGTGGTCTACGTCGATGGTACAGGCAATACCATTTCCCGGCGAATGGCTTGCGGGGTTCCACAATGGTCGGTGTTCACGGGGCATGGTTGCTTCGGCAAATACCTGCACCAAATCGGAAGAGAGGACACGCCGCAGTATCACCACTGTGGTGCTGCGTCGGACACTGCGCAGCACACACTCAAAGTGTGTAGTGCTTGGTCCGCGCCGTCTTACTACGCGTTGACGCTTGTGGTAGGCCAGAACCTGACTCTCCCCAATGTAGTTAGTGTTGCCCAAATGCAAGAACAAGACGAGACTTGGCCAGTCTTGGTCTTGGTCTTGCGCCAATACACCTGGTCTTGGTTTTGGTCTTGGTCTTGCACTCCCAGTCTTGGTCTTGGTCTTGGTCTTGCAGCAAGAGTCTTGCAAGTCTTGCAATTACCTATTAGACTTTTGCTATTTATTAAAGTTTACTTTAGATCTTAGGACTTAACATAGCCATACTAAAGAACAATCAGATTAATAAATGTCTGAAGATTTGATAAAAAATTCGATAACTGCCACATGGTTATCAACTGAGCTATATGCCGTTTTCCATGGGAGTAACTGTTTCTTAATAAACATTTACGCTTTATAAGCTTACATGTGCTAAAACACGTAAAAACAAATTATTTACAATAAATTGACTGTATTTTAAAGAATCTCTCTAGAAAGAGATTGAACCCTCAACTTATATGAAATTTAATAAAAGAGTTTTACGATTTATCATTTATTTCAATAAAAAATAAAATACAACACAAATCAATTAACATAACAGTACACAACAGCTTTGTCATTAGGTTCTGTTACTTTATATCAATTCTTTTGACCAAGAATTAATACAAAGTAACCATCTGGTTGACTCATCACTTAACCTATTTCTATGTTTTCTAATTACTAATGATGCTTTAGAAAATAATCTCTCAGCAGGTACTGAAGTTGCAGGTATTGAGAGAAAATCACGGGCCATCTTCGATAAAGTCGGATACTCTGTCTCATGCGTCCTCCACCAATCTAAAATGTCTTCCGAGCTGGCAGCTCTTGGTCTTCTCAGGTACTCCTCCAACTCGTCTATCACTAAGCCTTGAAGACAAGATCCAGATGACGTCGAGGGACATTCATACAGTTTATCAAAGTCTATTACGTCTTCATCTTCATCACATACCTTATTTTCTTTTCTTGGTAATTGGCTGCAAGACGCGAGAGTCTTGCCGGATTAGTCTTGTTCTTGCTCAAGTCTTGCATGGTGAGTCTTGGTCTTGGTCTTGCCTAAAAATACGCGGTCTTGTTCTTGGTCTTGGTCTTGCAAAATTGCAAGACCAAGACTGCAAGACCAAGACTGAATTTGGGCAACACTAAATGTAGTCCCCAACCATAAGGGCTTTGCCTGTGTGGATTCTCCCAATTAGACGGGTAAGAGGGACTGGCGATTGCACAGTTGCGCATCTCTGGTCTCTAGTCGGGGGCAGCTTGAACTGGTTGAGCGCCGGTCGGGCATTGCACGCCTCCGCCTCGTCTGAGGGGTGCGTCTCGAATGTCTCTAAGATATACCCCCAACCCGCAGAACATTTGGATTTAGTGGCAAAGAACTCTATTGAAACTAAATTTAAAAAAAGTTGTTATTTGATGCTGATTATACATTTTTAAAGATTAACACGATTTAGGTAGTTCCATGTGATATTTTTCCTTCCTTATGTATATGTATACTTTATCTATACCTTCTAATATTATAAAGACGAAAGATTTGATTGTTTGTTTGTTTTCATTGAATAGACTACGAAATTAATGGACTGATTTAAATAGTTTTCACCAACGAGAAGTTATATTATATGCATGTGACATAAAGTTTAAGCAAGAGCAGTCACTGCAAAAAATTAGCTTGCTAAGCTTATATTACAATCCAAGTAATTTCAGGTTGTAACTGGGTTAAAGTAAGGCTGGTAAAATGCTTCAGTGTGAATGGAATAGCTGCTACATTCGATACTACCGACAAACCACGACTGAATTCGAAACTTGGTGTTGTCGTCTTAACTCCAAGTCTAAGAAGAAGTAACAGTCAGACGGTTACCTTGCTTTTAAAAAAGGTAAAGCTAATTTCTCTTATCTATTATGCGAACCAAATAAGCATAAGTTCGGGTTTGTTACCAGATGTTATTTAATACTCACAGAAAAAAAAATCGCTAAATATATTTTGGATTCAAAAAAATAATAGTTAGCTAACTATTTTTTTTTCCCCTTTTGCGCACCCTACACTGATGCGCTTTGCAACCAAATATTGCTGTTCTATAGTGCTATTTTGATTTGGCTCGCATGGCTTCTGTATTTTTACGCGGGATCATTTGATATAAAGCTGAGAAGACCGAGTGCCACAAGGCACTGCCTCTGTCTTCTTCTAATACCCGTACGAAAGTACCTAAAGATCAAAAGAGGTTTATAGCTTTTTAATAAATTTAATATTCGTACCTAGGGTTGCCCTAATGAGTTGATTGACTTTTTAAAGTTTTAATTTTTTTTACTGAACCAAATAAAGAGTGTTATCAATTCTATCTCCTTGTATAATTTTGTTGGACGGGAACGATATTTAAAATGTTAGTCTTTAATGAAATTCCAATCATATGATTTGTATGTTAGTCCACGTATTTCTTGCAAATTACATATTGGATCACTTTTTAGTTTTTTTTTTTAATCTGTTTCATTTTGTATTTTTACGTAAATACTATTAAGACCCTCACTTTCTCTTGTAAAAAAGTTAGATATTATGTACTCATTAATAAAATCATATATTAATTACAATAAATATTTACACGCGTATTTTATAATTGTTTGATTGTTTAAGCTCAACGAATTTGAAATGAACACTGCGCCGTATGATTATCTGATATCTGTTAGGTCAGTGGACGATTTTAATTATATAAATGGAATCTTAAATGAAACCTCAATTCGTTTTGATCAGAACATCGTTGTCGCCTATCCAAATCTTCAATCTATGTCTGGATTGTGTGACAACAATTTTTCATACAAAATGAAATCTTACGACTCTGATAAACAAACAGACGTTTACTACGAACGAGAGAATCGTTGTCGTCGGTATAAATCTTGTCCCAAATCAGTCTATGAAAAAATCTACTATAAAACCTCAAACAGATTTAAGAATCTCACTAGAAATAAAACTTATAACAAATCAGGAAGTGTTCTGAACTTGTACCAGTCTGGTATATTGTATTATAATAATTCAAGAGCTTTCGAAATGATGAATATTAGTAAGTTTGCGTTAAGGAAACAGTTCAATATTTGGCGATGGGAGAATCACATGGATCGTGACCAAGGAGGCGTACATGTGGTACAATATTTTAAAGTGCGACCCAATTCAACTTTGTATGCTTATTATTTGGGTAAGTTAGTGATTTCAATAAAATTAAGGCTGAATAGGAAAAACAGAAAATAACTGATCATGACATCAGTATCATGGTGCATCATCGTTTTCTTATTATCTTCACTGTTGGAACTCAGAGCCTACGTACTGTGGAACACTATCAAATGAAATAAGTGTCTCTGTTATATTATTAAATTTATTTATAGTATTACAATTATTATAATTTTAAAGATACTATCCATATGGTGGAAGTGTCCAGAAAGAAAGATTATCAATTATCAAGACAGGATAACGCGAATTCGAATGCGAAAACTACACATTTAAATATTAACGGCCAGCATTGACCATAGATCATCCGGAGAGTAAATTTACCTATAGTAATGTGCACGGACGTTACAGTACTCTGTTTGTACAAGAACGAAGACTCGGTAAATTTTGAACCGATCACGCTGGCATAATGCGAACTGCTGGGTGTTAACGATTGCTGATACAGCCGGGATTTTCACATGTCAAAATGTATAAAAATAAAATGTTTTTCCAAACAGTTACATGAATAGTATCATCTTATTATGGTTTAATATTTCGTTTCATTAAACAAGTACATGAGAATTTTTGACAAACATATATAATTGTTTGTAGGTTATTGGACTCTAAAGCAATCAATGTCCAGAGTAGACACTCCATATCCTGTCGATGCAAGAAATTTTTTAGGTGAACAGTTGGTGGTTGGGAGGTGCAATTTTACAGGCGACGGATCACCATCGTTAGACGACGAAGGACCTTCAGCACCTGCACTATTGGATGATGTTCTTCATTTCCTTACAGCAAAATTAAATAGCACGCAAGTATTAATTTCTTCTCTCCAATCGATTCACGAAACACATGTGGCATTGGAAAAAAAATTTAATTAAGATACTCACAAAACATAAAGTTTGTTTATGATTTAAAACAATTCAATGTTACAAAATACATCGATTCAATTAATATTTAAGATGATTTGACGACATTGCATATACTTTTAATCTGATATAAGTAAATGGAAAAGACGTTTCTTTGAAAAGAATTGTCATTATTAGCTCATGACAAAAAGGAAAACCTTAAACTCTGGAGAGTTTATTATTTAGAAAAGCTAATAAATACATTGGAATGTAGCATAGTATTTATTTTCAGAAATGGCTGTAATTATATTCTGTGCCTATATAAATGCTAAAATTATATTTTTCTTCAGCTCGGTCAATAGGTTCTATAGCAAACTTGGATTTCGTACATATGAAGGTACATGGACAGGTCTGCTAGGAGCTTTGATTGACCAAACTGTGGACGTAGCTCTGGAGCCTGTTACTGCTCATCCAGCTCGACATCAAGATATGGAATTTATTTTTCCTATTGCTGAAACTATGTAAGTTTTAGTAAAAACTGTTTTAGATCTCTATAATGTAAGCGAATATATTGTTTGTATGAGTACGAGTATGTTGTAATTTGAAAACACATACAATTATTCAATTACGTATTATATTAAGATGAACATTACCTGAGGTCAGAAATTCGCAAACAATGTGTATTAAATGATACCTTTCTCGATTCTCTCACTGTTAAAGTGCAAATTAGTGTATTTTTTTAAGACACAGGCATCTTTTCCATCAATTTTTTAAAGTAATTCGGGCAATGCCTTATATTTGTGTTGTCACTATTGAACTCTGGTAACGTTAAATATATTTGCAATTACGATTACATTGTTAATTTGTGAACGTGTTCTCTCAATTCCTTTAGTTAATTGATGACCACTTGTTTGGTACGAAAAGTAATAACTGCAGTATTTCCATTTTCTTTCATCAGGTGTAACATTTACATAAGGCAACAGGAGACGTCCACAGTTCGTGATATATTCATGGCACCGTTTAGCGCTCGTCTTGTGGCTTGTGTGTTGGCTATAGCCATTTTGGCGGCGTCTGCTGTGATTTTGATTAGTCGTCTGGCGCCCAGTGTGCGACATAGAACACGTCCTATGGAATATACGGAGGCACTTATTTGGTCAACGGGAATATTATGTCAGCAAGGCTAGTGTACCTTTTTTTAGAACTCCAGTCTGTGGATGCATGCAGCGTAAATTTGCTTTATAGACCCGTAAAGGCCTATCTAATAAAAAACCTTACAGTATACTCTCCCATGGAGGGATGAGATACGCTAGTGTTTCTATTCAATGTCGATACCCCATGGTTTTTATTTAATGTCGATACCCCATGGTTTATTATGTCTAAAACGCGAGCGATAGTCACTATTCTGCTAATGTGCTATTTTCTTAAAAACTTGATTTTCACTTCATTCTTTTTCGAGTTTCACAAGTTTTTTGTTTTTTTTTTAGGTGGAGCTTGGACACCTCCAAATCCTGCAGCGAGCGTTTTACTAATCGTGTGCCTAATATTCGCGGTGGTGACATATAATGCTTATGCAGCATTCATAACTTCCGTTTTGTCGGTGCGGGTGGCAAGTTTAGACACCGTTGCTGCTGTGTTACATTCGCCTGAATTCAAAATTGGATATATTAGGAATGGTGCAGACCAAATGTATCTCATGGTAAGATCAAATTTACTACATGGATGCATTTTTCCATGCATATATTTAAGTTATCTATTTCCATGTTATATTATAATACAGGACATTCTACGTTAATATTAAATGCCACCGATGAGCCACGATGAATTGGTTAGCGCGATTAGTGTGCGATGCAGAAGTTAGGCAACTTCGCAAGGACTGGTCATAAGACGGGTGACGAAAATTTATCATCTCGAGCTTCTCCGTAATTTGGAAGGCACGTTAAGCCATTTTGATTCCGGCTGCATCTGCAGTCGTTAATGCCTACCAATTCGTAATCGTGGCCCATTCTATTTGAATCGAATCTGTTCATCCAGATAAGGTTTGTGCCATAGCAGTGGGGATACTAATAGGATTAAATGCTAAACCACAATGTAATTATTACCAAAACTACAACATTATGCAATTATGTTCTACTTTTGGTAATGAAGAAGCCGAAAGAATAAGTATTCGTTTAACTAAGGAAGCTTAGAACACTATCCGTCCTATTATAAAACGAGAACAAACTATAGCACCGGGTTTTAACATGGTTTTAACCATTATGCTACCAAAATATGTCAATACGTCGCAATTTAACGTTTTCCCTTTTGTCATTGTCAATTTGATTTTAGCAGATTAGCAGTTTGCTAATGGTTTAAACCAAGTACTAACCTTATTTCTAGTTTTTAATTTGAAAATACCACCAAAAGATAAACTATAATATGTAAATAACTCGATGGGAATTGTAATATTCTTTACAGATTATATTAAAATGCGTAATCCTTGTGTGGCATTGATTTTCTTATAATGTAAATGGAAATCTAAGAGAATATGTTTCCTTTTTGCTTTGTTGCAGTCCACTAAGGATGCGCAGTTAAATGCATTTTACATTCGTGGTTATTCTGATGCTGAGAATTTGGTATCGTCTGCGGAAGAGGGCCTGGCGCGGGCTGCTAGGCAAAATTATGCTTTTTTTGCTGGACAACGAGCTGCACGCTCCACATTACGGTAAGAATTTTATTCTTACCTTTATAATATTATATGTATGAGGGTAGCTGGGGATTTGTCACTTACGTAACGTTTGCTTCCAATAATTTATCACCTCCTCAGCCATTCAGTTACAATGGCAATTCAGTTGATTTATTATCTGGCAGTTTGAATATTATATGGATAAAGTGGAGGTCTAACTTCGATATTTAAATAAAAGCTTGCGAAATTCATAAAAAGGATCTGAAGTCCAATACAACATACCTATTTTTACTAGAAAACGACGAACAATGCCAAGTAATGCTTAATCAAGATTGAGCAACAGTTACAATGGTTAAAGGTGCATTGAAAAAACTGGCCGGGGTATTTCAAATGTAAGTAAAATGTAACTGATGAGCGGCATAAATTTTGTCAAGGGTGAAACCATTCATCAATATGTTTTAGAGTTGCGTAAATTATCTCAGTCGTATAATTAAAGAATAAGCGTTGAATGTAAAATTAATAAAAGATCGATTCGTATGGTGGGTGGTAGTGGGCTCATGTCATGTCCCGAATGCTTGCAATTCGAGAACACTTCTTATTTGAAGAGGATTTAGCTTTCCTTTTAGAAATTTGTTGAACTGCTGACGAGTCAAAAATTAATTGTGAAGATATTAAAAAATATAAAAAATCAGATAAAAAGGATATAAATCCTATACGATATTGGTGCTGATATCGATGTTTTGGTCTTAAAGTATTTACTAAGACTGGAAAACTTGATTTATTTAAAATGAGTAAACTATTTACTGGATATTCAGGAAATACAATAAAAGTAATAGAGAAAATAATGAAAAAAGGCCATAATGAACCCTTATATTTGAGTAAATGCATGCATCTATGCACAGAATTAGATGTATTAAGGAGTGTTCTGTCGTTACAAGAACTTACGGTAAGTAATAACACTGTACCCACATTTTCAAATGAGGACTGGGTTCTTTACCAGGTAAATATGGCATAAAATTAAAAGAACGCCGAACAAAAATACGTTCAAATTGAAAAAGAACATTACACAGTTTTATTTTGTAGATCCGAAGTAAATATTGAAACCGATCATAAACCATTAACAAATTAAAAAAAAATAACCGTTTATAGATGCGTGTATTTACAAAATAATGTTGTTACGATTACAGCGTTATGCTTTAACGTATTAATAAGCCAGGTAAATGTAATATTGCAGAAATCTTCCGCGAGCCCATGAACCCGATAATGTAACTGCGCTCGCGATGACTCATACGGCAGATCATTCGATCGGCTCAGTTAATGAAGTATGCTCAGTGACGCGTTATGATGACCCGGGCGTCATAGTGATTCGATGATGTGCAATTAATAAAGATACAAGAAAGGCAGAAGTCGACCATGAGTTAAATTTAGTTTAAGAAAATATCGTGAATAGTGGCCTTTAAATAAAAATAAAATTATGAATGAAGTAAACTTGTTAAAACCTTATCGGAGTTTTAAGGGGAATTTAACATTAGCTTTTGGAATATTTTGGAAAGAAAGAATCGTTATTCGCAAAATATTATGGAAAGAAATTTGAATAAATTTTATATCGTCTTTAAACTTCATAACTTAGTAGGGGAGATTGGGTCACAGTGAATCGCGGGGTACAGAGGATCATTCACTATAACTCAGTATGTATTGCACTCACACACACTAACAAACATGTATTTGCCGCTCGTATACACCTCATTCCTACGCACTAGTCGTCGACGCGGTCGCACAGCGAGAGGCCGCGCTGCCCCACTCCGGACGGTCGGTAAGTACCAAAACAATTTTTTACGAGGTTTTTAAATTTGTTTCATTTCTAAGTGAATGATTAATGTAGATGTTTTTCGTTTGTCGTACGCTTGTCGTATCTTGAATTCGTTGTTAAACGTGTTGTGATGTCCTTGAGATAGATAGTTTTTTTTTTGTTCTTATTATTTTTCCATAACGGCCAATGGGTCACAGTGAATCGTTTCGTATTGGGTCACAATGAACTGTTGATCCATTGTAACCCGTCAAGCTAAGATTTATTTGTACTTTATTTTTAGGTAAAAATGCCTCGCAATCGAGTAAGGAAGACTAGCATCGGGCTTCACACTGAAGAACAGATGAATAACGCTCTAAAACTTATTTCGGATGGCCAAAAAATAAGAGCTGTAGCTAGATCGACTGGCATACCGTACACAACTTTATATAGATATAATTTAAAAGTTAAAAATAATCCCGATCCTGAAAAACCAATAAGGCTTACACCTAACTACGCAGTTCATAAAATATTTACAGTTGAGCAAGAAAAAGATATAGTCGATTATATTATTAAGTGCAGCCAAATGTTCTATGGACTTACTATCACAGATGTTCGAGGCCTAATTTACGAAGTAGCTATGTTAAATAGAATAAAAGTACCAGACAAATGGCACGAAAATAAGCTTGCAGGTATTGAGTATTTATATAATCTCAGAAAAAGAGATAATCGATTATCGTTAAGATCTCCAGAGGGTTGCAGTTTGAGCAGAGCGACGTCTTTTAACCGCCATAATGTTGGTGTGTTTTTCGATAATTTGGAAAATGCAATGGCTAGACACGTTTCCTTTGGAAATGGCACCAGAGTTTTTAATTTGGATGAAACAAATACCATGACGGTGCAAAAATGTGCCAAAGTATTAGCAGCCAAAGGGCAAAGACAAGTTTCCAAGGTCACTAGCGCCGAAAGAGGTACCCTAACAACAACTTGTTATATTGTCAGCGCTTTGGGAAATCCCCTGCCGCCAGTAATTATATTTCCAAGGGTCCACTTCAAACAGCATATGATTGCGGAGGCTCCAACTGGAACCTTAGGTCTAGCTACACCATCGGGTTGGATGAACTCTGAATTGTTCGTGAAAACCATGCAGCATTTTATAACCTATTCAAATAGCAGCAAAGACAACCCTACTCTGCTCATATACGATAACCACGAGTCGCACATTTGCCTAGAAGCCTTGAATCTAGCTAAAGAAAATGGTGTGACAGTTTTGACAGTGCCGCCGCATTCAACAGGAAAACTACAGCCATTAGATGTCGGAATTTTTGGGCCATTCAAAACGGCATATAACAAAGCTGTAGATAGTTGGATGTTGCGAAATCCAGGGAAAACTTTCTCGATATATGAAGTAGCCGGATGTGTCAGGGAAGCTCATATGAAAGTTATGACACCCGGGAATGTTTGCGCTGCTTTCAAAGCTACTGGAATATTCCCCTTCGACAGAAACGTTTTTACTGATCTAGATTTTGCTCCAAGTGAGGCCTCTTCAAGATAATGAATCAAGAACCCCATCGCCATCAATATTAGAGTTTTCCTGTCCTGGTTCAACTCAAGATGTTCAACCTACCGAACCTGGTGCTCCAGGCACTCACGTTGATGGAACCACATCCCCACCGCCGTGTGAACTACAACCCCCTGGAACTCCTCACAAATATAGTCAAGCTGGTATCACATCTTCTACAATTGTGGATCTGACTGCTACTGCATCTAATACCTCCTGCTCAAATGTAGAAAAAGGATTCGTAAGTCCATTTCAATTTCGAGGGCTACCTAAAGCAGGTCCACGAAAAGGTGGAAGAGCACCAAGACGAAAAGGGAAATCGATGATTGCGACTGACACACCAAATAAAAATGAAATACAAATGAGAGAAGATGGAAAGAAACGCAAACAGAGAAAGGCCACTGCAAAATCAAAGAAAAGAAAAATTTTACAAGAAAGTTCCAGTGAAAATGAAGATAATTTAAGTGTTTATTCTGAAGAGGAACCAATATTTGAAGATGAAGAAGATGATTGTGAGATGGTGGATCCTAACAATTTACCTGCACTTCAAAGTTTGCCAATGGAAGGTGATTTTATTATTGTTGAATTTCAAGGGAAAGTCAAGGGAAAACGAATTTATTATATAGCCAAAGTTATAGGAGAACAGAAGAATGAGACTGAAGTGAGTTTTCTTAGAAGATCTGACAAAATACCAAATAATTTTCACATGCCAAACGTGCCAGATATTGCCACGGTTGCAATAAATGACATTAAGATGATTTTACCAAAACCTAAATGTTCTGGTAACACAAAAAGAAAACAGTGTATGTATCACTTTGACGTAGATTTTTCTAAAATTGATTTACGTTAATTTTGTTTGATTTCAAGTTTGACCATTTAGGTATAACAGCTCAAAGAATGAGTTTAATTTTGTTAATTTTTAGGTTTAGGAAAACCTATTTATATGTTAATTAAAATATGATTTTGAATTCTTCATAAGACTATTTTCACATAAAAGACTGTCTAGTAGTACAAAGACAAATTAGTTACCTAAGTACAACTACATTGTGATACATTTTTAAGTTGATTTATATCTTAATTTTATATTTGTTCTCAAGTTAAACCAATTATTAAAGTTCAAAGAACGAGTTTATATCTGTTAATTTTTAGGTCTAAGAAAACCTATTTTTATGTTCATTAAAATGTCATTGTTAATTTGTAAGACGTTTTGACATAAAAGACTGTCTAGTAGTACAAATAAAGATCTTATAACATACGAATTGGTGTCTTTTATTGTTTTTTTTTTCAATTGATCCAGTCTGCCCCTGTCGATTCACTGTCACCCATGCATTGATCCAAAGTGACCCATTCCCGGGTCACAGTGGATCGTTTCTGAATTTTTAAGAAAGTGCTTTTAACAGGTAATTTTATGTAACACACACCGTGAAATGACTTTTTCTTTATAGATTAGATACTCATATTATCATTTAATTTCAGACATGTATGATTTAGACTTAAACTTCAGGGTAACATGTCTTTAAAAAAAAAGTGATTCACTGTTACCCACTCTCCCCTAAACGTTACATGGTATGCCCAAAAATGTAAACTGAGAGTTCGAGAATCCGTTTTTTTGGCCTGGTTTAATAATGTATTTGCAAAGGATGATTAAAAATTGCTATACTTGTGTATCGTACAGAAAAAATTGTTAATAACAATATACAATCCCATGACATCCAGCCAGACAGGCCCTGGGCAAAAGTGGATGTATTTAATTTTTTGCATAAAAGTTTATGATGGGACTCGAACCCTTAACCTTTTGCAATCTGAACATAAATGGAAATACGCTTACTAGTAGCGAACAGTCCTGTTGAGTCTCGGGTAGCTTAATGGTTAGAGCAGTCGCCTGGTTTGCAAAAATCAGTGATAGTCACGGTAAGTTTACGGGTTTCATATTAAGTTTCTTTACTTAATATCGGACTTGATAGTGAAGTGTATATCTAACTTGGTTGCTTCCGAGGTCCATTTACACCTTATTCCTTTATAACAGCATTTCCTTACGTTTTTTGGTTTACGGAGCCTTAGGACATCAAGCACTATTTCTAGGGACCCTCCATAATAAAAAATGCCACTCTTGATTATTTTAACAGGTCGTTAAGTCAAGCTCGTGGTAGGTGTGCTGTCAGAGAGTTGCCTGTGCATTCAACCCGTGCGCAGCTGGCGTTCCCTCTACCACGCCGGTCACCATACGCCAGGCCCATGCTTATTAGGTATAAATACTTGGCCAATGTCCACTTCAGTTAAGGTACTGTGGCAACTTATGGCAACTTAGTCTAATGGTGGAGGTGGGTGGCGCAATGAAAAAAGCTGGTAGAACTCCTCAGTCTTGATTTATTTTCAATAAGTATTACATTAAATCACTTACAACCAAATACTATGCTGGTCTCGATCAGAAAGAAAGACTATTCACCAGCAAAACACAAACACGCGAATTCGAACATGAAAAAGTAATAATTTAAAATATTAACGGCTAGCACTTGACCATAAACCGTCCGAAGAGTAAACCCTACCTATAGTAATGTGCACGGACGTTACATGCCCGGGCTCCCTAAAAAAAATTATTAGAGCGTGTGAAGACGCTCGAATAATTTTTACAGAAGTCCTAAACCCTAAGTTCTACCTGCTTGAGGAACTTAGAGGAGGCGGTTTTTACTAATAAACCAGCTCCTGCAATGAAATTCCAATTTACTACTTTATTGTTCAGACTTCTTAAGGCATTCTTCACATTGCAGAAACTCTACAAGTGCAAAACCTCAATAAAAGCACCTGTACGTCTCCCAAATGTCTACAATCATCAAAACCCTAAGTTTGATAATGGATGACGTCAAAACCCAAACACAACAAACTTTATTTTAAATACAGCTATCATATTATATTCCCGATTCCCGTAGCTAAAATCAATCAAAATCGAATCAATTATAGTTAATATCCCAATATAACCCAAAATAATAACATAAACGGATATGGCCAATGACAATGTGTAGGGGAAGTTTGGCACCATTCGTACACGGGGAACTTTCATACAGTCACTACTACATCTTGTAGAAAAGTCTATTTATTACGACTTTGTGTCAGTGGATAGGCGCCGGCGACTGCCAGTTGTCCACGAAGTTAGCCACACATGCAGCCACTGCAAGCGAATCTAGAGAACTTAAAGTGTTTTGGCATGCTCTTAGTAAATACTTTGTTAATGTTTTTGGATCTTCCGTGTTTTAATTACACGTCAAATTTTACTGGATTATTGCTTAATCGTAAGTGAATACGATTGAGATAATAATAATATATCTATTATGTGTATTTTTCTACGTGGGTTTTGTGTTAAAAAAAATAATTTTATTCTTGATCTTCGGGGCACGTTCGTACATTTCCAGCAAGGGCACATTCGTACGCGTATGTATGTACCCCCTTACCCCCTGTGTGCTAACAATTTTTATTATTATATAAGGAAATTTTGAAAAAATGATCGGAATATTAAGAAGAAAAGGCAGACACGTTCCCAATATTCATTAAATGAGTTTTTTTGCGTCTGTAAAAGTTGTTTTTATATAGTAAAAAACAAATAGTTTTACTAAAAAGACTAATCAATCGAAAAAGTTCAAAAACACATTTCGGAATCACGATATTGCTATCAAATGATTATGATAAAGTTTTGAAATATAAATGTTTAACAAAATTGTTATGAAACTGGCTTCGCTGATATAGAATGGATGCACGGTTTTCGTAAAAATATAGTTAGACTCTAAACGACATATAGGCATATGTCGTTTAGTTTATTACATCGTTGAAAAGTTTGAGATCAATGAAAACGATATTTTTTAATTAATTTGTTATTTTACTTAATATATATGAAGTTACCACACTGTCTGAATGTTCCCCGGCCCATGTACGATTGTACCCCGTAATAGGGGTAGATTCGGACATTCATAAGCTTTTAGTAAAATTCAATCCTTTGATATATTATACAAGATATCAGCTTTGAACTTTTTAAATAAGGAGCAGAAAGTATGCTTTATGTTTTAATAAGTAATTGAGTAATTTATCTTTGATTATCAATATTTTAAAAATCATTGACTAAAAAGTGTACGAATGGTGCCAATCTTCCCCTATATCTTATAAGCATCCATGATAAATCATTGACACCCATGAGACAACAAATTGACATATGGAGCCTAAGGACGTCCAGCATCAAACAAGACGAAACCCAATTCCTATGGAACCAGATGGGTTCCCCGACCCTCGCAATGCCCATGTATAAACACTACGCGCGATACAATAATAATGTCGACGCGCACATGAAGTGGGTGTCTGTCGACTTATCAACAGAGATGCTTCATAGTAGGCCCTCCGTATTGCTGACGTCAGGATACGCGCCAGCTTCATCATACTCTTACGGGAATCCGGCAGATGAAGTATGAACATGAAACAATTAAACAATATTAACAAACATCCTTGGAAATTTTACAATAAATAAACAATAATTAAACAAATATATCAAATGATAATATACAGGAATAATTTAAAACCACTGCGAAGATTTTGTGAAAATAAACTTTAAGTAATTTAAACAAACACGTATTTTTTATTTTGATATGTTCTGATACTAAAAAATAAAGTTATCGCTTATCAAAGATCGAGATTTTAAAACTAAGTTTATGGACACCGCGCGCCGTGCGATAGCTGAGCGCTCGCTCGACGCCGTAGGTATGTACTCGTAGGTACCTATCTACACGGGTCACTGACCGCTCATTTTGTTAGATTCGAACTAGATTTTATGCCATGATCTGAGGTGACTTCTAAGAGTAATTCCAATTTTCCCTTCATACTTTTATGGTTAAGGCCATCAAAATGCAAAAAAATAAAAGAGAAACAAATTCGTTACCTAGAAAAAAATATTAACGTTATGCCGAGGTTACATAGGTACTTCAGCGTTAAGGCGTATTTAAAAAAATTGGAATCAACTACGTAGTTACAATAATGTTAAATCAAAAAATACCTAACTACAATAATAATAATTGCTTACCGTATTTTAATATTTGTTCAGAATGAAGTCCACCTCTGTCCAGACATAAACGTGCACATTTCATTATATTGTCATTTAATTTATTTAAAACACTGGTGTCACTTTTCACTTCACTAAAAGCGTTATTATTTTTTATTGTTAAGTCTTCTAGGCTTTGTGCCTCCTCTACATCCCGGCGTTTGACATCTTCCCATAAGAAACAGTCCCACACGTGTGAACAATCCGTCCACAAAATGGTTGCATCGCTGTGATGGAAGCCACTCGCATAAGACTCGACGTAGTACTGGGTCTAGGTCATGGAGCTGCTGAACCAGCTGAAAGTGGTACGGATGGAGTTCGGCTGTTTTTAGCAGCTTCAATACCGCGGGCTGGCTCACACCAAGCGTCGTACCGCATCGTGGGTACTGACTCTGGGACTTCGTCTGTTAAAATGGTTCGAAGCATTAGGGACTGCGGGGTTACCGATCCCAAAGGCTCGCACACGAGGTATGCTCTCCGTCGCATTCTTTCTCCGAACTGCGCTTAGGTTCTCACTACTCAGAAGATAAACTCGTACCATCTCGTAAAATTCACGACAGCGGGCACGTCGTGTGCGCGGGAACGCACGTCACATTGGCGCGTGCGTATGAGTCTCTCTCACTGCCGCCACTCACTGTCGCGCGCGTCGCTCGGTCCAGGCGGGGCGGCGGGGGCTGTGGCGGGGGGGCTGCACGGTGGAGTACGCAAGAGAAGACGTTTTCATTGAAGTTTTATTTTAAAAAATGTGTCCATATTCTACCGTTTCAATAGGGATAAAAATATAAAAAAAAAATGTTTTAAACTATACTCCATTAATTATAGCATTAGACAGAAGTTAAATAAGGTTCTTTTTATGGTATACTTTGTGATAAAATATCAATAATCATGTTACTCTTAAGACTGACGGCTAATTTGCTACATCTCCACTTAAATACCAGCTGCTATACTTAACTGTTGTCATTTAAGCTATTTATTAAACAAATTTATGAGTATTTGACGAACTTAAATGATTTAATAACTATTACAATAAAAAGTGTGCATCTTAAAGAACCTAAAGAAGCAGGGTTGGATAGTTTCGGCACGATTTTCATGTCACTATAACACTACCAAATTTAAAACGTTGCCTCATCCCTTCAAACGTTTCGGCAGTACAGTTTTTTAATTTTGTCAGACTATATTGTATTCATAATTGTTAAAATACGTAATCTGGGATTGTCATCCGTTGTGAATGCTACTGCCTTTCTTGTTGTTTTGCCGTTTTCCGTGATTAAGTTGTTATTGTTTTATTTTTATTTTGTTATAGTTTTGTTTTTGTTGTTAAGTTTTGTTAAATATCGACGATGCCGGTGCAGGCCTGAGTGGCCTACAACAATTAAGCTTTAATCCCCCATACCTACCTTCAACCTTTGACATTTCAGGAAGTTTTTCTAATATCTTCATCTATAGTCTAACTAATGTCTGAATAAATGTTATAATAACAAATTCATTTTGTTTACCTTTCTTTCCTGGGCATAGATATAACTAAATTCTATTCTAGTTATATGCACTTACAATTAGAATTTATCAAAACAACAGATAGTTAGTTTTAGTTCCATCTCAACCCCGAGGTATGTAAAAAATGAAAAATTGCCCAGCTCTTTCAGACTACCTAACGTTCAAAATTTCAACAAAACTATAATATATATATTTTAAATGTTCTGTACTACTGCTTCTATGATCCTCTTTTTTCTAATGTTATAATGAATGGAGTATAATTATGGAAAAGTGTTCTATTACTGATACTGAATCACCAAAAAAATTTTTCGCACTGGAAAAAAATTATTCTGTATATTAAAAACATATTGGATTAATATTATTATTCGAAATTAGCTCACTATCAAACTAAACTTGAACAAGAAATCGAACCTGTCATAGTTCCTAAATAAAAGAAAATAAATTAAAATTACAACTTCAACGTTATCATTATATGACTTAGAAAACTTAAAAATTCATATTACTTTAAATATCTATCACCTAACTTATAATAACAAATAAGAATTATTATTATAGTAATGAAAATACATTAACCTAATACCTACTTCCTCGAATTCTAAAGGGCTTAATTCTATTAGCATGAACTACCTTTATTTTATAATTTCCTAACCTTCTTATTATAACATTATTATTATCAATTGGTCGTATTATCTGATAAGGAAATCTATCTTTATATTTGTCTACATTCAACCTATTCAACCTAACCTTAATGAGGTCAGTCTTTTTCTTACGACAGTTTAAGAAATGTATCCTATCTTTTCTATTGTGAAAACTTTTCTGAAAATAATACAAATTTAAAATATTTTGTCGATTACTCATCAAATAAAAATTGACATTTCTATCTCTAGTATCATATGATAATTTCAAATTTCGATCTAAATTGCTATTATAGAAAATTAATGTTTTTCTAAAGATCTTATGTTGTTCATGAATTTTTCTATGAACAAAATTCTTATTATTTGTATTTTCTCTCTTTAAAGAAGACTTATCTTTTAAAACTAAATTCTTATTATTATCCTTGAACGACTTAAGAGAAATATTAATATCAGGACATTCTTTATTGGCATTCACTACACGTGACTCATGCAAATATTTATCATTTTCATTATAAGAATATAAATAATTATTAGAGACATTGTCGAAATTATTCTCTTTTGTCAACTCAGACGTTGTCAAAAATTTACATACAATGTGTTTGACAAATAATTGATGCCTACTAAAATCTATGACAACATTATGAGAAAATAGAAAATCTTGTCCTATTATAATGTCTCGATCAATATTTTTCACAACATAAAAATCATGAAATAACAAGACATGTTCAATAATAATCTTCACATTGACACGACACTTTAATAAATGGTTGAAACTCACGTGCGTATAATATATTCTTTGAGTGAGGTGGCTGTTTATCCTCAGCTATAACTTCTATCGCCTCTGCTGCTTTTGTGTTGCATTCATTATTCTTCTTAGTCATCATTGAGTGCGGCTTTGTATTACCTCTTGGTCTGAAATTATAAGGGCGGGGCATCATCTGATCGGGAGGTGGGATTTTACGAGGGGTGAAAGATGGAGAACTGAAGGTTCTAGTGGGTCGAATAGACGTTGAAGGTCGCTGATCTCCTTGTCCGCCTTGTGTGCTAGAGGAAGGAAGAACATCTACAATATTTGTAAATTTTACAGGTAAATTAATGTCCGCTTCTCCATCCCCTCTATTATAAATTTCATTTAATTGTTTGATGACCTCTTTCAAATGTTGTCTATTCGTATACAACTGTGATCCTAAACGTCCCTTAGTTTGGAAATTTGCTGCTCCAAGAAAATGTTGGATGAAGCATTTATCATCAATAACTGCCTCAGCTTTATAGGCTAAATAATCTAAAGAATAAAAGTAATTAAGTGGGTCCTCCGTTGCACCCTGTCCTCTTGCAAAAAAAATTGCGATAGAATTTTCCGTTGAGGAGAACTCCTCGCTGATTTGTTTCTGAAGTTCCTGAAATGTCTCACAATTATCTTTTATTTTATTATAAAATAATAGTGCAGGTCCCGCTAAATACGCTGCCAACACTAGTTTTTTAGTCGATTCTTGATAGCCTTTTGCTGCTGCTATAATATTAAATTGGGAAAAAAAATCAGCCACATCACCTTTTAATCCGATGTATTTCGCCATAATTTTCGTTTTCTCGTTTCTCGTTTTTCGTTTTCTCGCTTCTATTTTTTCCCCGCTTGGCTTACGGGGTATCGTTATCGTTATATTTCGAAACGCTGCGCCTCCACCATGTGGCAACTTAGTCTAATGGTGGAGGTGGGTGGCGCAATGAAAAAAGCTGGTAGAACTCCTCAGTCTTGATTTATTTTCAATTAGTATTACATTAGCACACTTACAACCAAAAACTAAGATGCTCACTCTAAGCTGGTCTCGATCAGAAAGGGAAGATTGATAACCAGCAAAACACGAACACGCGAATTCGAATATGAAAAAGTAATAATTTAAAATATTAACGGCCAGCACTTGACCTTAAACCGTTCGAAGAGTAAACCTGCCTATAGGAACGTGCACAGACGTTACAGTACCTAACCTTAACTGAAGTGGACATTGGCCTCTGACGTACGTCATACAGAACTACTTGGCAACGGATGCAATATCAAAATTCATGGCCTGATTACATTTTTCTGTACGTATATTATTTGTTTTGATATCATTTCTGAGTTGATCACACCACCTAGGGAGAAACTAGGCGGCGATAGCGTATCGCGCTATGGGCATTTTGATTCATATGTTAGATAGATAAACACATCCTCATCAAACGCAGCGGATCAAAGTACATAAATCCTTGCTGAAGAAGGAGAAAGAAACGAATTTTAGAATTTAAAATAACTTGTTTGAAATCTTATTTTATTACACGTAGGTGTATTTTTCCAGTCTTTTACAGCTGCACAATACCGGAGCACTAGTACAACTTCAGGCGACGCTAGTACCCGCCATGCCGGAGTGCGCTCCGCCAGCGGGGTTCGCGTCTGCCCGCGCTGCTGACGTCAGATCAGCGCTTATACTCATCATTGGCGGTCTGGTAGCTTCTTCTGTCATTGGTAACTAAATAAAACTGCACTTATAAGCATTGCCAACATAGATTGCGATAATAAGCATTGCCAAGATAGTTCGCAAGCCGGTTTCAAGGTGTCGCCATTTCTAAGGTTTGATTCCCAATGTAAAAAAGGGACTTTTCTATTATCTTTAGCTACTCATCTTTGAAACTAAGCAACACAAAACACTAAGCAATGTATGTTATATTGGCTATTATATTTCACGTCACACTTACGTAGAACGATACTAATTAAAAAAATACTAAAAAACAAAGGTGTAGGTCAATACAAAGGATTAATTTTGAATTGGTTTTGCTAATAATTTTGTGGGCGAACGAATTCAAACAAGTTTCGATATGTTTTCTGAATTTTTTCTGTTTAATTATGTCTATGACAATAGTTGGGTGCTTTTTACAGGTTTCGTAGAGTATTCTTGGAAGAATCGAACTGCACTGCAGAAATATATGTTGGCTGTTTGGAGGCGTATTATTCGCTTGGCACAACTTCATGAATGTTTTAATATTGAATAAAAATATTTACTGGCAAATAAAGTATTATTTGTATTTACAAAACTGGTTCTTATTAACAAGTTGAAGGGGCAGTATTTGGATAAATGTTTGCACTGTTCTTATCATAAATAAATTGTGGAAATAAACCGGGATTTTAAGGTCTTCATACACTACCTCAGCTTTTGCTTCTATGAAATATTCAACTGCCAGTTTTGATTTCGGAATTATGCTGATGAAATCATAGGAATTTGTTGAGCGAATATACTATTATGTAACTTAATTAAAAAACGGAATGTAGTTAAAGTCTGTTATTTATTATTAAGCAAAAATATCTATAAAGGGTTTAGCCGGATACGTATGACGAGTCGGCCCCCAAATGGGAATCGATATTGAAACTTATGTTTTAATATAGACTTGATGTTCAAACACGATTTATGTACTTTTCGCGACCGACTTCCGCTTTGACCTTGAGATAGAGAGCAAAATATCCCTATGCTTGACTATTACTGAATGTGATATATCTCTGAAGCTAATTAAGATAAAGAAGTGAAACTAACGCGAGGTGTTAGGTTACATTACAGAGTATATCACATATATTTTTTTATAATTTTTAGAATAAAAAATTACATTAAAAAAATAAAAATAAAAAAAAAACATGTTTTTTTTCTGAGTTCTCTGTGACTTACAATCACGAAATTAATATATGTTATGCTCCTTTGTGTGCTCTATTACCCATAAAAATTGCGTGGAAAAAAAAGTTGGTGCAACACAACGAAAAAAAATTATATGTGATTTCTGTCTTATGGTATACCCCTGTATTATAAGGTTTTCACATTACATCATTGTTTTTTTTTCGAAATTTCACATCAGCTTGTTTTAAAACATAAGTAACTAGTCTTAAGAGATGGGATAATAGTTAAAAAAGAAATGAAAAAAAAAAACAGCCAGTGTTCAATACTTATTATTATTACTTTTTCGTGTCTATCAAAATACAAGAAACAAAATATTAATCATCGTCACTGTTGTAATTAATTACAATCGGAACACTTTGAGTCGCAAATAACTTAGTTAGGACCTCATCAGGACGTACGATTTTGGACAAATATCGTCCATATGATAGATAATAAATAATAGCTGCTACATGAGAACAGCATCCCACTGTACGTTCGCCATTGGGGCAATCACAGCAATAACGAAGAATACTATTGTAGTCATTACCTTCGGAAATATAGTGAATGTAAATTCGATAGACTTTTCTATTTATATGTCTTGATTTTACTTCTGCTTTGATGATATTAGGTGCTGATTTCACATATTGTACTGAGAGATTATTTTGATCGTCCATTATTTCGGCCAAGTTAAATGCTGCACATTTAGAAGTAGAAGCTTTTTTGTTAATATATGGGATAAGTCGACACTTCTTACAAAAAATATCATTAACTATTACGATTTTATTCAAACAGTCACTAAACACTTTAGCTTCTTCTTCATTCTTTATAATTTTTTTATAACCAGGAATCTTACACAGGTACTTGTTACAATTATTACACTTTCTCGACATTATTACTTAATAATAATTTGGTTCGATAGTTAATAATTTCAAAATGCTGATACAAAATACCTATGACAGAATTTTTATAAAGTCGATGTTTCAATATGTCTCAATAGTTAATAGTTTTGATCAATAATTGAGGAGCTACTTCCAAGTTGTACGCTCATTCTATAGCTACCAATTTGTCGATTAGATTAGCCGTCAAGTTCGCATAGGGAAGTTCTGCAGCTTTGTAGTCCCATGGGAAAGTGTGGTGATAATTGTGCCAACCTACACTGAACGCACTAAAGGTGACAAAATAGTTTTGCTGAAATTGAAGAATTATAATACTTATTCGATAAATTTCATATGCCAGATAGTGGCGTGTTTGTATTCTGTAAATGCTAGTTTTTGGACACGTGAATAATAAGTGCAAAGAGTAAAAGTATATATTAGAATAAGAGGCACTAGAAGTCTATATTGTTTTGGAAATTTGTCACAACTGACATTTTGACTAGGCGCGCACTGGTAATTTTTGGGTTCTCATGACGTATTGTTTCTGTCATCTCACTTAATTATCACGTGTTCAAATGCACGCAGCACAACAACGATACTCAGGAACATTGACAGGAGACACCAAGTCATGGTGACCAAAAGACACTAGCGCGCTTAGTCCTACACATTTCGAGACAGACCAAAAATACTACACTTAGGTTTTGTATAACCTTATAGGTTTGTTTTATATCATCCACTACACTTTTTTTGTCTTCTTCTTTTATTGAAATAGTTACGCAGTCATTTTGCTTTGATCATGATATTTGACTTCTGTGCTTATTCTGGACGTACCGATAAAGGCTTTCATTTTAAGGATTCTAAACAGCCTGATGCTTTGTTTGTGCAAGATTCTATGGCTGATCCTTATAGCAACTTGACGGTCATCTTGTTCTTGCTTTCTCAATTCAGCATTTTTAGAAATTTTAGTGCGCGACGACAAATTTATTTTTGCCAATGGATATTCTGCCATCTCTTCAATTTGTAGGTTTCGAACGATGTGTCCACTCAATATTTTTTTTCACCCAGTTTATTATTCAACTCTGATACTTTGAATTTTAGTGGTTATTTTAGATAGAACTGTTTACCTGCCACGAATAGCCCATTTCAACTATTTTTTCGACTTTCAGTCATTCATAATTATCGGCAGTTAAGTACACACGGCTGCACGTCAGACTACATTGAGGACTTTGTATTGACCGCGCTTCATATAGAACTTCCCTATTAACAGAGTTCTGCCTATGGTGGTGGTGTGTAGCGTGAATTGCGGCCGTGCGTATAACTTTCGTTAACATAATTTATTTATTATTAATTGATTAATTAATTAATTGATTTAGTGGATTTTTAAGCATTACGGATATTTTCCAGTATAGCATTGTGAATGAAATTTATCAAATATAATATATTCGGTTATGTATTAAAGTATCATATTAAAAGTCACCCATATATTATTTTGTCGTCCAATGAATAATTAATAAAAAATAATATTCACATAATAGGCAAAAAATCACATTTGTTGTTAAAACAAATAACGTGCTTTTTGCGTAAAAAATCACGGTCTTTCCACAGCCCTAATATTTTGACCAACGATACCCCACGCCATGGGAGATAAATTATTTTTTTCATCCTCAGCTTTACATGTAAGGGAGGTACCCGAAAAATATTTTTTTCATGAAAATGCTTAAAAAAACACTTGGTTCCTGGCATTGTAAATGCGAAATTGTTTTTTTTTTCAAGATTTTATTTTACCACTTTGTCGACATGATATACAAAAGTACTACTTAAGTATACTCATGCTAAATTACACCTTTCTATTGAGCTAAATCTCATTCCGACGGATATGAATTCCTTATAGACTACGGAACCGCATATTTGAAAATGAAAGCGACTTTGTTTGATAAAAATTAACTAAAGACAACAAAAATAAACCCCGTTTTAAACGTAAGTAGTGTCATTTTAATATAAACGTAAAATTTTATTTTTTGAATCTACCTCTATTAATAATTCTCCTTTAAATTATGTTATTGGTTAAATTGCAAAATTGAAAACGAAAGCTACTTTGTTTGATAAAAATCAGAAAAAAAGAAAACTACAAACATAACAAAAATCATAATCCTGTTTTAAAAGTACTGTAACCTAGTGATCAGTAGCATCAGCTAAATATAACATTTTCGTGTAAGTACTTAACGAACCTAACATTAAATATTAGCGACAATGATAGTACAGATTTTAATTACTTAAAACATTATTCAATCCTGCCTAAACAGCTTAAATCATATAATAATGAATGACAAATTGAATTGTAAACAATGGTTACTAAAGTAATGATTTAATGCCATACGAACTTCCATTCCTATTTTCATCCCTTGCTTTTTTCGGGATATAAGATAGACATTTGTTTTGATTTTTGTTTTTTACTCAGTGCATGCAAGGAAAACTTTAATAAAGTATTCCAATTAAATTTACCAAAAAATACCTATATTAGAAATTGTTGAAAACGAATCAGTATCTGATTTTAAACATACTACTTTCAGGATGTACATTAATTATGTTACACGTTATTTAGTATTCTATAATATACATAAAATTAATGTAAATTAAATTTTTTTGTTATTAGTGACAAAATAATTTAAAATACTATTGGTAAACAATAGCTATATTTAAGTGGTATAGGGTGTACAAATATGAAGTAACTTCTTAAAATGCTGTCATTAGCATTCTTGTAACCATATTAGGTTACCATTTGACAACTGTACTCAACACACAATAAGCATTGCGCTTACTACGAGTACATTCGTTGCTCGTCATGTAAGTTCATTGAAAAACGAGAGTGCATTGTTAAAAATATTTTAGGTATCTATGAAAAATTCAAAACTAGACTAGCTATAATAATAATTCTGATATGAGCATTTTAATTTTTTATTATAATAATTAACAAAAGAAAATAAATAAATAGTTGATGCACGTGCACATTATAATTAGCACACTTTATTACTTTTATAATTTTCATAAAAGCAACTAAAAATATAAATAAATATAACATAAATTATAATTATTCTCCCTATTATACACTGTAGTCTTTGATAATTATGACTAAAAATCCTCTGTACATTTAAGAGACAAAATATTTAACACATTCTGCCATGTCAGCAACCATCTGTCATTTATTTGACATTCAAATATATGATTCATCAACGTAAAGTGGCAAGTAAGGTGATAGCTAAATCAGGTCCTGGAATCTGTTCAAAGATAACTTTAATTTACATGTTGTTTGTACGTAGGTATTTTCAAATTTTCACCAAAAAGATTAAACCTATAATGTTTTTACTTAAATGTATTTTAAAAGCCAAGTTGTGTCGGTAAAATTATCGGTATAACATTATATAATGGAAAAATATAATTGATGACAACAGTCCCATTAATTTAAGTTGGAATAGCCATGGATTCAGGATTTATTTTGTATCTACAAGTGCGGTTATCAAATTCATAAAATTTCATTTGAAGATGTGTGGTTAAAAACTGATTTACAAATTTTCGTATATTCACATATTATCGGGTTTATCATATAATATAACGTTAAAGATCTATAAATTTTGAGTCACTAAAATTCATGATTTTCAACCCCCTTATTTTCTAAAAAAACGATGTCCCGTTTTTATCCGTAGAAAAATTATCACGTTCATTCTCCTTATTCGATTTGATTCTATTCTTATGGAAGACCCAGATTTTAAAAGAATCTGAGCAATGTGTGGTGATGTTGTATAATATTTCGTTTTATCTATACATATGTACTCACATAAACATAAATTTCACCTACGGGAAGCTACATCATACACGGGTCACATTGGCTTATACGGGTCATATCTGGTTTATTTACAGTAGCTTCAATCACCAGGGTCTCTCATTATTTCCAATTTGAGCACTCTCAGGATGTTCTCGTCGATTGGAGTATACGTATCGGGGCTATGAGTAGAAACGATATCAAATATCAGCAAAAAAATGCATTTACTTTCGTATTTTAGTGGATAAAACACGGTAAACAAAATTCGATTAGGTTAGAACTATGATCGGATTTTTTCTAATTAGTGCCCTACACTTCAAACGTCCCAAATCTCGGGATACTATGAAATATCATCTGTGACTAACCTCTATTATAAAACTAGCTGTTTACCCGCTACTTCACCTTCACTGTAGGTGAAAGAATTTCAAAAATAGGTCAAGTAGTCTCGGAGCATATTAGATACAAACAAACAATCAAGACTTTCCTGTTTATAATATTAGTGTATATAAAGGTCAAAGTCTCTGTAAATTCGTCTTCTTGTTATGAAAAACCTTCATCCTCTGTACGTAGCTTAGCCGTTGTCTGAGCTTTGTTGTATAGATATTTTTTTGAATCATCTCTTAGATCGCATTGTTACTCATTATCTATGGTAAATATTAAGTAGGGGAGACAATAAATATTTGTAACGTGTAACGTAAACAGTCAATAATGGATAATAAGTATGAGCTTATTATAAATAAGTATGAGCTTATTATAAATAAGTATGAACTTATTATAAATAAGTATGAACTTATTATCCTTTATCCTATATAATAATTTCTTCGGTGTTTAAGTCATTAACAGGTTAATAATCTGTATCACCATAACCATTTTCCTTATTGATTTGAGGGGGTTAACAAGAAGCCTTTGATTATATACTTGGCTATAACCAAAGAAAGAAGTTAACGAATTTTCCCATTTCTTATCGGTAACATAAAAATAAATAAAAGAGAAAAAGGAATTTCTTTTTATATATAACCATATCTAATCTTTCATGTTTGAAATAAAAAAGGGAATCTATGTAATGATAGGTAAATAAGTAGTTTCTGAGAATAGATAACTTGAATAAATCTACTTTGATTTCTTTGCAAATAAAAAAGACGAAATTGTATTCCTGTTATAATCTAATCTTGATTCCGTTATTATTCTTGGTATCTTT